CATGAAATCTGCATCAAAGATATTATGTATAAAATATTTACCCGCATAAATTCTTTACTAAATTCTAAGAAGAAGAATTATTATGATTATAGTCAGAGATATATTATAAATTATATGCCACTTTTAAATCACGTTATATTTCATGATAAGTATTAATAATTTTTCATATCGCGAGAAATGGTATATTTTATTCAACTTTGTATAAACTTTACTTACGTATCATCTAACAAATGATGGGAAAAAGTTTCGCGGTTCGGCATCATGTTGCCGGATGTTGTTCACAATTGCCCGTTTAGCAGGTCGTTTATCATTTCCGGCAAGCTCGTTTTGCTTTCCGCAATCGATAAAAACGCTGGCCATTGTCAGCTCACGTACTCTGTAATGTGTCGCTAATGTAAAGCGATCTTTTGGAGGTCATAAAAATCCTTGCAGATAAGAAGCAGATCGTAAAATCTTTGCTTGCAAGCCGAATTGTGAAAAACCTCTCAATACACTGGAATAAAAAAAAATTTTTAATATCTACAGAAAAAACATATCGTACATATTTTTTTATTACATTATCTAAAATATATTAGGAACGATATATTAAATTCGACCCAAACTAGCCAAGAAATTTTTATTTTATTTCCACAACGTTTCGACCATCTGTTTTTGATCCTTTTCAAATGAAAAATTCTTTGATAAAAGCGCAGTTAGTTGACACTGTTGATTATCGGAATTTTTTAAAAACATTTGAAAGAACTTTTGAAAGAAAGTAACCGCATCTTATCGTTATGATGGATCGTCAAAAAATTATTTAAAATATAATTTTATTATCCAAAATATTAAATACATCTCGAATCTCGGGATCGTTTTGAAAAACCCATTAATCTGAAGCTGAACGAGGAAAAAAGGAGTAAAATCGTGCGGAAAGGCGAAGGATGGGGTAAAGGAACGAAACGACGTGTGTCGCTCTATCTTTAGAGTTCGTGTTCTCGTACACCACCACTCATTTTGAGACGCCGAAGTGTCTGCTGGCGGACCTTATCTGAGTTCGTCCGAGCGCGTTGAAACTTCTTATCTCGTGTTCAATACGATGGAATACGCGAAAGATACGAAGATAGTCAGACGTCAGAATAATTATACGATTTTCTTGTCATACATTATTAAAGAGAGCAGGAACATTTCCTGTACGTTTTTTTTTTCAATAATTAATGACAATTAAACGGAAGATTATATTAATATTTTTAAAAATATATCGAGAAATATGTGCGAATTTTAAGGAGACTTTTTAAAGAAACTCGTTTTGAAATCTGCATTATAATTTTACAAAAATAAACTTCTACTTATTTTTTTCAAGAGAAGCATAAATATTTTTAAAAACTTCTCAACTTCATGCATATGTTGTTTTCTCTACGGTTCAAAATATACATATTTATATGATTCTGATGAATTTTTCATACGACTGCAAATATACACGTGTTATTATTAAAATTAATGGAAAATTGAGATGTTAAAAATTGCACGAAAGATCGAAAGATATATTTTGGATACAAGATTTTGTTTTCATATTGTTGATGGATATTAGAAAATACGCGGGTCGCGCAAACAAAATATTTTTCTAAAAATAATGGTCTGGATTTCATTAGTCTCAGGAATCCGTGGAATCCTTTTTCGTACCATCTTGTGCGACTCTGCAGATCTGCGCAATTTCGAAAGAAAGACATTCCATCGTTTGCCCGCAACAAGTAAATTCTCTCTGGTCGTTAATTACAAAAAAGAGAGAGGCAAGAGAGGGCATTTGCTCTCCATTGAAATAATTACAAAAATTATTTTCGCATATTTAATATATAAAAAAATTAAAATAATTTTAAAAATTAAGAAAGAAAACATGAAAAACAAAAAAATTTTATTTATGTCCAGAGTAAAAATTTTAAACAAGATGAAAAATAAATAGTAAATTTTTACTCTAAACGAGTCTGGATGTCCATGGCGCTTTCTCCAAGTCGGTCGGTCGAAAGGAGACACATTTATATGTGTGACATTGATATTTATAATTTCTTACGTCACTTTGTAGCTGCGCGTAGCAAAAGTATATCTACGGGGATAAATCAAAAGTCAAGTTACCGAACAAAAAAAGAAAAAAAGAAAAATGAGAAAAACTAAATGGAGAATCCAATGGTCTCCAGCAGGTCTCGATTAACTCGCTTCTGATTTACGATTGTACGTGTACCATACCATCGGAACACACGTGGTGGCGTAGCGAGATCCGACCCGCAGTAGAATGAGTCCCGAAATAGTCGCGGGCGAAAAATATATATCCTCCGGGCGATACCCTATCGCGAGCTTTATCGTTTCACGTCATTACGAGCTGGGGTGTGTAAAAAAAGGATTTCGCCCGCGTGCGGAGAGACGTTAGGTAATTCCATACGTTTGTTCCCTGAGCCGTGATGTAACTTTCTCATTCGGCTTATACCTCTGGACGGGTTTTGGAGCAGGATTTAATCCCGGAGATTAAAACGTTACTTGTAGCTTCACATGTCACAAACACGTGAGCAAACCTGTAATTTTGTTCGAAACTAATCTATTGGATACGCAATCTTCCGTTACGTCGCGATAATCCAATTAGTATAAAGTCTCTATATGTATAAGTGCATTTGAAATGTCATCAAAGGATCCGCGTACCAAAGTATCAACCCTTGTCTCGTTAATTATTAATTAATTAATTATACCCTTTGTCGCCTCATTAATTAATTAATAATTAATAATTAATTATAAATTAATTATTATTTAATAGTTATTAATTAATATATGCATGTGCATTTATCGATCATTAGAATTGCATTAGGTCATTAGGCATTATATTTATGTTTCAATAACAGCGCAGATAAATACAAATTTGTGAAATAAAATTTATAAAAAAAATTATTACTTAATTAAAAATTTTAAGAGAAATGTCATTATTGACAAATCTCAATATTTGATATTTTAGAAGTAATTAAATCGCGAATCACAATTACTATTGTATATAACTATTAGGAAGAATGCACTGAAAAAAGAAATTTGTTAACTTGATTAAATCTTTCAAACTATATTTTATTAATTGAACATATATTAATATTCAAGTCAAATATACGTTTTTTTGTTAGATTAAATATATATTTCATTTAATTGAAATATTTTTATACATTTCATTAACAAAATAATATTTAATTGAAAGTTATTGGAAGGTTTGATCAAGTTAACGAATTTTTTTTCGGTGTGTGAGAATGAAATTTGAGATAATCGATCGATAAATATATATCGTTTCGTCATTGCTTGCGAAACTTGTTTAATTCTTTTTCATATCGCTTTCCTCGCGCTAACATCTAGTAGATGTAATATCTTACCGTATGTTACGGCATACAGAGATCTTTATTTAGTTTATATACATCTTGTTAAGAATCTTATTTCCCGGCCAGTCGTTCCGTCCACGTGGCGCTCCGTAATATATAGGAGTTTAATTCTAATCCTACATCTGTAAATATTAACAAAGTTCGCCGTTTAACACATCTCTCGGTTAGTGGGTGGTCTTCGCATAACACTGGCTTTAGAGAGCCGAAGAGAGCACGTGGTTGCCGCGGCAACCAACGGAAGGGATATTGGCTTTTGCTAATCTCCCGACTTTGCCATTTACTCTTCAGTTAATTTGCGAAAGAGGGAGATCTGCAACACAGATTTACGAAGAATTCTTTCCAGAAGTGTCTCGATGATTAATAATGACCAAGTTACAGATTTGTCATTCCTTCAGAATTATAGAAGAGCGCGAAGAATGTCAGAGATTTCGACGTGACGTGTAACAGTGGAATCTATTTTGTTTCACCTTTGTTACAAACTGTCACGTTGATATCATTGACAACTTAAATCCGTTTCTTTCGCAATCGGTATATTATTACGTTGGAACAGCAAAATTAAGATTGCAGTTTTATTGCCACCCACACTATTCAATTCTAGAAAAATATTTGAAGAGATCTAAGCGATTCCTTATATACTATCAATCTTTCAATGAGGTCAACATAAAGCATATATTGCTAATAAATAATAAAAAATTGATTATATATTTTCTTCAAATTAAAAATAAATTAGTATAAATATAATTACATAAATCCAATATATATATATAAAAATGTAATATGTATAATTTAAATCACCCTCTATGATACCCTCAAACTTCTGCAATGTTCATGTCATTTCTAATAGACGTCCAATTTAAAAGTTTCTCTCAAAGTTCAAATTAAAAAAAATAATAAATATAATTATATGAAACGTAATATGTAATATAAAATATAAAAATATAATATACGAGATGTATAATTTAAATCACTCTCTCTCTGGTACCCTCGAATTTCTACTCACGTTATTTCCAATTATCTAATTTAAAACTTTTTCTCAAGTTTCAAATTAAAAAAAAATCAATAAATATAATTATAAAAATATAATATATACGTATAATTAAAATCACCCTCGAATTTTCCCACAAACTCTTTCTTCGCTTCGTTGCACCGATCTCAAGATTCGCGCGCGGAATGATATAATTATTTTCGCTTTGGCGTTCCTCGATTCGACGCGACGTCATTCTCGGTCCATGCCACGACGACGACGACAAGGAACGATATGTCGTCACCACCTCGTCAAAGTCGTCAATCGTCGGGGAACGCCAGAGAGCGGTCGCCAGAAAGCGCTTTCGGTATTTGGCAAAGCCGTGACGACACCTTCGTCGTCGACGACGACAGTCCTCCGGTCAGTCTGCGGCGGACCCAGGTATCCCAGACCGCAGCAACCTCTCTATATCTCTTCCTCAGTCTGGTCCATCGTCGTCTCTCGCTGTCTCCTTCCCTCTTACGCTCGCGGCTCGCTCGCTCGCTCGCGTTTCCGCACGCGAGCGGGAAGGAGGAAGCGGAGAGAAGGGGCGAAGACGCTTTTAGACACGGAGCGTCCACGAGCGTCGCGACGCCCTGAGGAACAGTAGTCGCGTACCTTAGGTAGCTTCCACCTTGCCGGCTCTCGCGCGAGAAATCGTAACGCGTGCGATCTTGACGTCCGGACGTTCTCGTCGTCCTCGGTGTTCTTTTTCGTAAAGATGGTTCTCGTCCGAAGAGCCTTCTTAGGCTCTATTTAGAGAGAAGGTGAATTTGTTTAAACTCTCGAGACCAGTCGACTCCGAAAGTTGGCCGTTCGGGGACGATAGGTTGTATAATAGGAAGTCAAAAGTATTCCTTGACAGCATACATCCCGAAGACGTTCAGAAAACATCCTGAGGATGTTCGAATATCCTCGGAATATCCTCTAAATATCTTTCTGGATATGTTGCTCTATTATAGGGATATATTGCTTCCCTAACAGCACACATATCCCGAAGACGTTCAGAGAACATTCTGAGGATGTTCCAATATCCTTTCGATATCCTCGAAATATCCTCTAAATATCTTTCTGGATATGTTGCGCTATTATAGGGATATATTGCTTCCCTAACAGCACACATATCCCGAAGACGTTCAGAGAACATTCTGAGGATGTTCCAATATCCTTTCGATATCCTCGAAATATCCTCTGAATATCTTTCTGGATATGTTGTGCTATTGGGATATAGGTATTGCTTCCCTAACAGCACACATATCCCAAAGACGTTCAGAGAACATTCTGAGGATGTTCTAATGTCCTTTCGATATCCTCGAAATATCCTCTGAATATCTTTCTGGATATGTTGTGCTATTATAGAGATATATTGCTTCCCTAACAGCACACATATCCCAAAGACGTTCAGAGAACATTCTGAGGATGTTCCAATATCCTTTCGATATCCTCGAAATATCCTCTGAATATCTTTCTAGATATGTTGTGCTATTATAGGGATATATTGCTTCCCTAACAGCACACATATCCCGAAGACGTTCAGAGAACATCCTGAAGATGTTCTCTGGATATCCTCTGAATATCTTTCTGGATATGTCGCGCTATTAGGGTTCGCTCCAACGAGCGGCCAAGTGTCAAAGTGCGGTTGGTGAAGTGACAGACATCGCGAGTAGGAGAAGCAGGTACCAACCCGGTGGATCTGGTATGGTACAGTGGACGACCGCGAGTCGTCCCTGTCGTGCAACACCAGCTGACGCAACTTCGCGAAGGTGGTTCGCGTGGCGAGGCGGGACAAGGACGCGACGATGGCGGAGCGTCCCGGTGGCGGCAGGAGACGCTCGCGTCGCGACAGCGCGGACACCGGCGGCGCGAATCGCGACACGCCGTCCACGTCGAGGGAGCGCAGGACCAAACGCAAACCGGTGAAGGAGCGATGGCTGCTCACGAGGAAGACTTGGCGATACATGGCGGATGCCGGCCGGCGTCTCATCCCGGACGGTACCCACAACCGGCCGGAGGACATCCCGAAGATCGAGCAGTACTTCCAGGAGGTGTGCCAGAAGGAGCCGCGGTTCCTGCTCTGGAGAAAGGCCTCGTATCCGGGTGGTCTCGCGACCTTTCGTCCCCAGCGACGTCGCAGACAGATCAAAGGCGGCAGCTGTCGAAATCAAGCCAGCTCGGCCGACGAGGCCGACGACGTCAGGAACTCGCCGCAGAACTTTGTCGTTCGCGCGACCACGTCCGGCAAGTTTGATCTTGCCAAGGCGAAGAGAGAGTGGCTGCTGACGTCAGGCAGCGGGAGCACGCCGTCGAGTCCGGTGACGCGGCGCAAGACGTCCGAAGAGGATGCCGAGGCTAAAGAGCTGGCTGATATGCTACAAAAGTACCTGAACATGCAGGGCGACGCGACTAATCCGGCGAGGGCGGCCGCGAAGTCGCAGGAGACGATGCAACAGACGGAGGCGAAGGAGCACTTCGACTACCGTAGTTTGATAGACAAGCTACAGCAGCACCTGGACATGATCGTGGCTCAGGCTAAACGCGATCGAGTCTCTTACCAGAGTACCTCCAGCGAGACTAACCCGGTTCCCGAGATTGTGTCGTCCTATCAAGGCGACTACGTTCATAAATCACTGATGGAGACGCTGAGTCGTTACTATAGCAAGTCGTCTTCTCGGGAGCACGTGATTTCCGACATCTTGACGGATCGGAAACTCCTCGAGAAGCTCTACTTTGATCTGAGGTGCACTCGGGGTTTCAGAGGACCCCGAGCAACCGGCGCGTACACCTCGCCATCTACCAGATGGTGGGGTCACGAGAGACCGTCGACCAAAAAGTCTGACGTTTGGTCACCTACGAGGACAGGTCACTCAATTTCACCGCCACCTCTGATCGCCGTCCAGGAACCCAGCATCGATCGGAGCTTCCTGGACGATGGCGTGCAAACCGATCCGGTTTCTCGGGACGTTCTCGATACGTGTCTCCTGGAAAAGGACGAGTCCTCTTCGCAGAAGGAAGGAACGTCCCACAAGTCGAGCGGACGAAGACGCAGCAGCCTCGATAACGATGACGTTTCACCTTCCGTCAGCGACACCATTAAGCGATACTTGCGGATGGCGCGAAAAAAATCCATGGACGCGGACAAGGCTGATCGGTTCAAGCGGGTGAATTACGATCGCAATCTTCGGAACATCAAGGCCAAGGGCGAGATCACCAAACCAGGGGACGACGACGGTAACAGCAAGGGTTGCCAGACCGAGGACAATTGGGCGACGCATTATCGCGAGATGTCGTCTTACGGTCCCGGTGAAATTCCGTCGGAAAATTTATCGGACGCCGATACGACGACGTCACCGCCCGCGAGCAGAAACGCCAGCTCCAGGAGCAGCATCGACGCCGGCCTCGGCTCCGAGGAGGCCACCACTCCCGTTAAACACCATCCCCATCATCATCAGTCCTTCCTGTCCCATCTCCTGCACGGTTCCAATGCGCATAAGGATAAGACGTCCCACTCGGCACCGGGTTCGCCGGCACTCACGTCATCGTCCGCCAATTCCGCAGGTGGCACCGCGATGCAGAAGAGCAAGTCCTCGAGCAGCGTCGTGCATCACGGCAGCCGGCTGGTGGCGAAGAAGATCTGGCGCTCCAGGAGCAAGAGCACGTCCAGGGCGTCGCATCAGCCTTCCGTCTGGACGCCTCAGGTGAGTCCTTTTTTATATTTGTTTCTTCGATGGAAGGAGGAAGATTGTAATGTTATGAGAAAATAAAACTAAATTATATTTAAAATTCAAGTGAAATATTCGGAGCTGTGTTGACAGTAAAGTCGTTTGCAATAATTAATATATCAATAAAATATGAAAACTTTAAATCACTTAAAAAGTTAATCATAAATCATTATAACTAGACATTTTGGATGCTGAATACGAATCTGATTTCTAAATTATTCCATCACGTCACAATTTTGAGACATTTTTATTTCAAATTGCAAAAAGGGCTTTTTTCACGATTTTTCTTATATTACAGCTGTGATGTGCTAGAGAAGTTTTATCATAATCAAAATAAAGTATATTGTTAGGACTTTCAACTCTTAAAAGGAATTTTTGATGTCGGATTATGGTTAATAAGATATCCGATTTACCAAATAAATTTCAATTATGTTTATTTAATCTTAAAGGTTTTTTAGGTCACTGAATACGAATATAGTGTCAAAATTGTCAAATTCAAAATGGTGGATTTAAATAAAAAAAGCTTTTTTTAAAAATATCTTTTATTAAAATAGCTTTCATTAGCTTTCGTTGAATTTTTATTCAACCCCCTAAAACATTCTTAAAGGCTATTTAGTAAATCGTCACTGATCTAATTGTAAGTCAGAGCTCATATTTAACCATGGATATCTTATTAACCATAAACAACACCAAAAATTCCTTATGAGGTTTAAAAGTCCTAACAATATACTTTATTTTGATTGCGATAAAACTTTTCCAGTTATAATATAACAAAGTTTGTAAAAATATCCTTTTTTTACAATTGTAATTAAAAATTTCTCCAAATTGTGACGCGATGGAGCAATTTGGAAACCGCATTCGCATTCAGCATTTACTATAAGAAACAATTAAAGGCTCATTCCGATGTTCGAACAAAAGGCATTTCTCGTTGAACAGCATTATCTCCTCTAATTGTGACCAGTAGTTTTGATTTTGTTCGATTAGTAGTCTATTTGCGCGAAGAGTTTCCTTCGTTTGCGATAGAGTGAGACAGCTGAGAGATGAAAATGCGTCTTCTGGAAGTTATATTAAATGCGTCCCGCGGATTTCCAACGAGCTATATCTCGCGCATTCTTTGGCGTCTCCGCGAAATTAGCAAAAAGCTCAATAAAAAGGAACAGTAGATATCGCGAATTTGGCATAGACCCGCATTTTCGTAATGGCAGCTTCTGGCGCTGATCTCCATGTTACGCGAAGCAGGAATATCCTCTGAAAGAGCGGAGGAAGTGAGAAAGAGAACGAGAGAAAGAGAGGGAGAGATTCTGAATTATAAAGGGTGTTTGGCGAAACTGGCAATTGGCGATTGCCGCTATTTTTGGACAAAGTTATTCTTGCAAATTAATTCCGGAATAACAAGTTATTTACGGACATTACAAAACGTGTTAAATATTCTTTACAATCAAATTCTTTATCAATTTTAAATATGATAAAGAATATCGATCGCTCTTCTTGTCATCTGTGTTTTGTGAAAATTATGCTTCGAAGCAATCCACTTAAATTAATCGTGTCATTTATTCATCCGAAAGTTTTCAATGTGAAAGAAAATTCTTGATGCGAACATTTATATTCTCTTTTCGCATTTGCCTTTAAATGCCGGGTTTCCCAAGTAGCGTGACCCTGCTTACCATTCATAATTTAAAAATATACATTGTAAATTATCGCTTAAAAAGAGCTATTGAGAAAGAACGATTTTTTTCAGTGTGACAATTTTTAAGATATATCAAATTATACTTCTCATCCTTTCCAAAGAGAGCTTATTTTTATTCATTTTCGTTAATATTCTCACAAAATGTTTTTCAAATTATATATTTTAATAAAATATTATTATATTTTAATAAAATTATATAAAAAAAAAAATTTTAAATATATCAAATTATACTTCTCATCCTTTCCAAAGAGAGCTTATTTTTATTCATTTTTCGTTAATATTCTCACAAAATGTTTTCCAAATTATATATTTTAATAAAATATTATTATATTTTAATAAAATTATATAAAAAAAAAAAATTTTAAATATATCAAATGTATACTCCTCATCCTTTCTAAAGAGAGCTTATTTTTATTCATTTTTCGTTAATATTCTCACAAAATGTTTTTCAAATTATATACTTTAATAAAAATATTATTATATTTTTTAATAAAATTATATAAAAAAAAAAAAACATATTTATATATTTTAATTATTTTCTAATTTGTAAGTCAAGAGGGAGAAAAATAGTTTGCAAAATACTTTCTTTCACAGTGAGAGTCATCCCTCGAATACTCGATAATTGCGCTCACGTTTCCCTCTTTTTTCTTCGACACCCCTTTATCCTCCGGCGTAAAGCACGCGAAGGATGCGAGAAGGGAAAAGGCGAAGGAAGAAAAAGGGGGTCGACCTTGCGACAGACGTTCTCGTTAAGCGGTAAGCGCGATAACCAATTTAGGGCCTCGGAATTTCGCTGGCGCCGCCAGAAATAGTCAGCCAACGCGGCGGTGTGTATAAACTATACTTAACCCCTCCCCCACCCCTTTCTTCTCTGCCGACACACTACTACTCGTATATATATCGACACGCTAAAGTCAAAGTCTACTACTAGCCGTCGTCGTCGCGCCCATGCTATTCTCACGTGGCGTTCCTTCATTATTTCGAATAATTCGAACAATCCGATCGCGAAGGAAAAAAATTCTCTCATTTCGTGGTAGGTACGAAAAAATTGACTGTACACTAAAAAAAAATCAGATGAGAAATATTTTTGTCGGCTCTCAATATTAATAATAATATATATATGATTTTTAAATCGGCCAATAGAGCCCAAGCGCGAAAAATTAATTCTTCGGAACTGTATCTCTTGGTTTGAGATTACTAAGTTCCATATATAAATTAATCTCGAACTTACATATGGAGAAAAATAGGCGAGCACTAAAAAAAAAAATTTATTGAATTCGAATATTTATTTCAATACTGTCTAATGAAGCCTTTATTTGAAACTAATAATATTGATTTGATATAAGAAAACCCTTTTCAAAACAAATAAATATTTACTTGTTTCAAATAAATGATTCATTTGGCAGTAAAAAAATTTATTGAATTCGAATATTTATTTCAATACTGCCCAATGAATCCTTTATTTGAAACTAATAATATTGATTTGATATAAGAAAACCCTTTTCAAAACAAATAAATATTTACTTGTTTCAAATAAATGATTCATTTGGCAGTAAAAAATTTATTGAATTCGAATATTTATTTCAATACTACCCAATGAATCCTTTATTTGAAACTAATAATATTGATTTGATATGAAAAATATTGATTGATATAAGAAAATTCTTTTCAAAACAAATAAATATTTATTTGTTTCAAATAAATGTTTCAAATTATTTGGCAGTATTGAACTAAATATGTATTAATTTAGTCATTTTTTTCAGTGTACACAGAGAGAATTTTCTCTTAGAATTTACCCTGAAAATCATGGTCGTGAAACAATAAAATATTGGAAGAATCGTATAAGAGTTTCTCTGATTAATGTTTATCACAAAATAAAAATATTAATATCTATCGCAATAAAATATTAAATATGTTCGATTAATTTTGTTACGTATACATAATAAAATTTATTACATATTAATATATTTTTATTGTTTCACGATTATCATAATTTTCAGGGTAAATTCTAAAAGAAAATTTTTTCTCTATAGTTAATTTATGCCTTCCAATATCGATATGTAACTAATACAATTAATTATAATTAGAGAATTAATTTTTACTGTTGCTGGACGTAATTAATTGTTAAATTTTTCCAAACACGACGCGGAAGAAAAATGATGGGCTGAAATTATATCTATGTACATCTATACATACTAAAATTTAATGGAATATTTTACTTGTCCAAGCTTCAAAATTAAATATTTTGACAAAGCTACGTCCGTGATGTCAAAATTCCATTAAAATAATCCTAAAAAAATGAAGCTCATTTTTCGTTTACACATATTTCTGAAGCTCAATGCACTTTTTTTCGATCGAATTACGGCTCGAAAACTACTTCTGTGTTGACATGTTTTTCACTCGAATGAACCACTTTACTCGTAAGCGAACAATAACATCACTTACACACGAGATGCACTTGTCAACGTGACAATTCTGTTTGTCATTCCTATTATATACGTAATAATTTTATTAATGAAATTAAATTTCTCTTTATCTTTATGATGAAGAAAAATTTCTTTTGAATAATTTTCACGATCAAACACAAGAAAGGCGGGAAAAAAGGATAGACCTCATTCACGACGATGGGAAATCGAATCGACACTTTCCAAAACTAGTTTCTGCGTCACCATTTTTTGCATGGAATGCGAAACTCGTGTACCACATACTAACTTTTTACTTTTCTTTGTCTAACTTCATAGTGGCCTCGTTAGACCTGGCTTCGCATTTCGAGGACGTTTTTTTTCTACCCGTCATTTTTTTCCTCAGCGAACTTTTTCAGTCCTCTTCTTTTTTACGTTATCCTATTAATTTGCATTCCTGCATCAAAAGGCGGAAAATAAGCGAACGCATACTTTGGAATAATGAAGATGAATATTACAACGACGCGGGTCGATAGAATAATGACGATTAGAAAATTCTGAAGAGAATTTGAGTGACAGTACACAACGAAAAAAAAATGTTTAAATTTTCCTCAAATATTTATTTAAAGCAAAAAATCTATAGGCGTCATTATTACGTATATATAAATGATAAAATGGTAAAATTCGCGTATTCGCATAAGAGATAAAAGTGCAATTTGTCCGCCCACACTTGTCACACACGGCTGTTCTTAGTGACGCTAATCGCGATAAAGTACGTCGCAGTTATTTCCATTTGATTGTGATGACGTCAGTGGGACAAAAAGTGGCTCAAGTAGCTTTTCTCTCATTCGCGATATCTTGCTGCGTACTTATCATTATACGCTTCGTCTCTCGTATTTCATTTTGTTACATCACGATGAGACGATTGTACAATATGTAATGCCATTAATTATTCGACGCGATTGAATAAACTATTCACGCTATATGTACCTCGATACTACATATATATGCAACTTGATTCATGTTCGCTACATTTTCTTCCAATATATATATATTCGCGTTTGTCTAACGATAGATCAACGTTATTATTTTCAAGCGGGTTTAATTCGCTCGTTATCTCGTTATTTCCCTTTAATGTGTATTTTAAGATGTAATTTTAAAGAAAAATCGATTACGAAATTACTATGAAGAATTCTCCTATTATATGTATATCAAGAGAATACAAAAATGGGACAAACTTATCCTTTTTAAAATCGTATTTTATTGATATTACATTTCCGCGATTTAAAACTTTAATAAAAGGATAGATTCTTAAAAGAGAACAATCAGTGTTTGCTCTTATCTAAATAAAATTATATAGATGATTATCTGACGAAATTTTGGCGCCATCTTATTTTTATATAGATAATAAAAATATATATTATTACGTATATCTACATCTTAGATAAAAATCTGTTGTCTTCACGAAATTATCTAGAATAATGTTTAGATAATTTAGTTTACAGTAAATATATTTAAAATATATATATATGGTATATTATATATATTATATCTATTATATATATTATATTATTATATTATATTATATATATATATTATAATATATATATATATTTATAATATATTTAGATTATATTTTTATATCTCTTTTATAATTTACATTTTAGCTATAATTTAAAAAATCATCTAAGCACAACACTGAGAACAATTAATCATACTAAATCTGCTAGTAGTTATTCAAGCTTTCATGTATGCATTATATTTTTCTCCCATTGTATCACACATGTTCTAATTTTATATAATGCATGAAACACGAGAAGAAAAGTTGCACGTACAAAGTTGTTCGTAGGTGAATAATAATGATGATTCTATTCATACTTTTCCCTTCGCGGCTCTTTTTTCGACATCGTGAAATATCGCTGGGGCGTGTGAAACACATTTGCGCGAAAAACACACAGGAATGCATTTACCTGTAGATTGAAGAGGCAGGAAGAACGATATCGCGCACGTTCTCGCATCCATCAGCTTTCCACGAAAGTTCATAACGTTGGACCATGTATACATATGCCTAGAACCCATATGCTTTTTACGTCAAAATTTTTTGACAATTTTTTCGACCGCTTTTTTTCGACTGGATGTCATTTGACGCCTTTTGACGCGCAACTGATTAGCTTACGAACGACAGGAGTAGATTCATTTTCTGCGATTTTTAACGACCACGTTGAAACGTGCTTGACATTTAGCAGTATATTTTTTATTAAAATTTTAACGAAATATTGTAAAGAGTATACGAATGATTTATAGTAATCCGTTAATTTAACTATGTATGACAGCAACGTATATGAAAATATATTTCTTTGCTTGATTTTTGCATCGAAAATGCAAGAAATATTATTATTCTTACTAATGGTTATTATTATTAATTAATTAATTAATTAATTAATTATTAATTGAAAACAAACATAATCTATATGCATCGTGAAATTTTCAAGTGCAATTTAAACTCGGCTCGATCATCTTGTTTTCTTCTTCGCAAACACGAGCGAAAAAGATAATTTGCACAATTACCTGTTTTCTTGCAAGATTAACTCGATCCTTTCTGCGCGAGAAAAGTGTATGAATTATGGTCCGTCATATCTCCTCGTGTTATATCTCGCATTTCCTCGATATTATACTTCGTCCCGTTTACTTGTCGAGTGCAGACACGTTACTCGGAGCTCCCTGTCATGAAATTTTTATGACACGTGTTCGGGAACGTGTAAGTACTAACGAACGAGGTTGGTGTAGATTCGCCCTTCCGCGAATTTCATTTATTTGCCAAAGTCGTCGATACGCCGTGAAAAATCGAAATTGGTCAATTCGCGGATAAAGCAAATTTTTGATGAAAAAATCCCGGATACTCTCATCTGTGATTTATCTCGTCGACGAATCCATCAAATTTTATCCCGCGAATTTACATGATAGGACTAATTTGAATAAATCGTTGCATGATAACGAGGAAGAGCGAAATCGAGAGATCGCGGAAAATTTAAATTTTGCGTTTGGAGAGAGAGAAAAAGAGAAATCCTCCGTTCCCTCCTTTTTATCCCTAATATTGTTTTGGTACCTTAATTCGCGTCGCGGTTAAGGTATTATTTTATGTACAGCATGCTGCCGCAGCAGTTTGTTGAAGTTCAATTGAACGAATAGCAAAGGTAGCAAAGCAGAAGAACACACAACTACTTGATTTTAATTATTATTATTATATTAGTTAAATAATGGATTTTAAGAATAAAATAGATTATTATGAGAATACAAAATCCGAATTTTAATCTCGAAATAATAAGAGAACAAAGAAAAATATGCTCTAATAAATTTGAATCACGTGACTGATTTATTTATTTAATATTTATTTTTATTTTGAAAATAATTTTCTTATATTAAATAAATATTTTTCACGTCAAATCGATATTATTAGTTTCAAATAAATTTATTTGGCAGTATTGAAATAAATACTTATTCGAATTTAATAAATTTGTGTTACAATGTAGAAAGAATTTTTGCTTAGGGACAATATATGGTATTACGGTAAGAATTTTATACGAGTTTCTCTGATTAATATTTATTACAATAAAAAATATTCATATCTACCATAATAAGATATAAAACATGTTCGATTAACGCTGCTGCGTATGAAAAGGCACTTTTACACGTGTTGGAAAAATTCGTTCGACCCTGTCGATTTCGCGAATCGATTCGGAGGGAGATGTAATTGAGAGAGACATTTCCACCCATCTCTTTTCTGTCGCAGGGAAAATGCACCTGGGCAGGCACGGGAAATCGGCGCGTAACTCTTCAAGATACATCGCTGCGAGCGCTGTCCGATGTCGAGAGGAAGGTCCTCTGCAAGGTGGCCGTGGCGAAGCTCCAGGCTCTCAATCTGGGTGTGCACATCAGGCCGCCGAGCGGTGAGTCTTTCTTTTCGAATCAAAAATAACTGGAAGCGAGAATTGTGATGTACAAGTTTTTTTTTTCCCCCGGAAGAGCGAGAGAGATTGATTACTACACAGAGAGAATTTTCTTTTGGAATTTACTCGGAAAATAATCATGGTATAATCGTGGGACAATTTGGTATTGGAAGAATTTTGTAAGAGTTTCATATTTACCACGCGATGAAAAATATATTAAAAATATAAATAATAAAAAATATTAACAGATAAGAAATATATGTCGACTCTCAATATTAGTAATAATAATAATATATGAATTTTAAATCGACCAATAGAGCCCAAGCGCGAAAAATTAATTCTTCGGAACTGTATCTCTTGGTTTGAGATTACTAAGTTCCATATATAAATTAATCTCGAACTTACATATGGAGAAAAATAGGCGAGAAAAATATAGGTCCGAAAAGTCGCTGAAGCGGGCGATTTAAAATTCATATATTATTATTATTAAAAAATATTAATTTTTCTCTCTCTGCTACTAGGGTTGCTCAGAAAATAATGTCTCACATTTTTTTCTCGGAAACTGTTTGGTCAACAGGTTTAAAATTTACACACAATATAGGGATGTTTCTTCTTTACATATATTATTCTGCAATATAATTTCCATCAACTTTTATAGTCTTACGATACAAGTGTATGTTTGCCTTTACTGGATCAGTTCTTGTTCTATCTATGTCCTCATTGCTTGAATCGCACTCTCATCATCCTCAAACTTTGTCCTATAGAAATAGTATCCTTTTAAGTTATACCTTTAAGTAGCTCAAAAAATTGTATTTCAAAAATTGGAAGGAATCAGATCGGGACTATAAGATGAATAAGGGAGAACAGTTTAGTGATGTTTTTCATGTCCAACTTTTTGAGTCACTTAAAGATGCACTTTGCGAAACAAGGTTTGGAAAATGACGAAGAATATGGCATACATGCACTTTTATAGTGCGTAAAGCTACACGGAGAGAATTTTCTCTTAGAATTTACCCTAAAAATCATGGTAATCGAGGGACAATATGGAAGAATTTTATAACAGTTTCTCTGATTAATATTTATTACCACGATAAAAAATATTAATAATAAAATTAATCGAACATATTTTATATCTTATTATGGTAGATATTAATATTTTTTATTGTGGTAAATATTAATCAGAGAAATTGTCCCTAAGCAAAAATTCTTTCTACACTGTAACACAAATTTATTAAATTCGAATAAATATTTATTTCAATACTGCCAAATAAATTTATTTGAAACTAATAATATCGATTTGATGTGAAAAATATTTATTTAATATAAGAAAATCCTTTTCAAAATAAAAATAAATATTAAATAAATACTCATTTATTTCAAATAAATAATAAAATCGATTAAAATTATATTAAAAAATGTATGTAAATAAGAGGACGCATCCATGCAAAATATATTGTGTGCAAATTTGAAACCTGTTGAATAAATACTTTTTGAAAAAACAGATAAAAATCCTTAAGGTTCGCCAGTAATAATTAATAAAAATCTTTCCTCAAATGGTAAAAGTCGACCAAACTGGCAATCATTTATTGTAGATAATTAGTTAAAATACAACGTTTCGGCTATCATTGCAGCCCTTTTCAAGTAAAAATCTATAAAAAGTTACATAAAAATAATTATAATTTTAATACATTTATCGCAACAATTAATTATAAATTCATAAACAAAAAAATGTTACATACCAAAAGTAAATGCTAAATAAACTAATACAGTAAATCAAATTCACTGCATACCTCCGACAACATTCACCATTGTTTTAATGAACAATGTAAAATTGACAGAAGTAAACAAGAAATAAAAAGATGTTAACAGTTAGCGAGAATCTTAGTCACTACGCGTTAAAAAATCGAGACAAAACTAATGTGTCTTTTGCAATCTAAAACCTAATAACAGAGTCAAATAAATAAATAAATAGGTAAAAATAAAAATAATTTAAATAGCGTCAAGAACACGATCATAAATCCCAATCTAAAATTCTCCGTATCTTTCTGTAAATTAATGCTTTTTTGAAAAAAGTGGAGCATTTTCGAGCAACCCTAGTAATATATAATTATCGAATAATATCCCCTTCTTTCGTTCCTACCACAATTTTTCTTCTAGACACGCGAACTCGCGGCTTCACATCCGCGTTCCGATCTCGTCCCGGAGATTTTGAAAGGAATTCCTCTCGCGCACGTGTAACTTCATTCCGGTCGTGTTCGTTGTTAGGTACTCCGCGTTAGATTAATCCGCGGAGCGTGTTTCGAAAAGAGCGAAGAAACGATAGGAGGCGATACGCGCTCAACGAAATTCCGACGCGTATTTAAGCGGTTCCCGCCGGCTTTTATTTAACAAACATCGATGAGAGTTATGAATTTCTCGGATGCTTTTGTAGCGCCGTGCAGAATCGAATCCTCGTGTGTGCTTTCTCGTCAACGCCCCCGTACGTTATACGCGAGTTATCCCGTTGTAGGATACGTTCTTTCCTATAGCAAAAAATTCACCTTTTACCAGTTTACGTTATCAAAATTTTCTCAGTATATTTTTACATTTTTACGCGAAGGATAAATATTTTTTCTGCGGAAAATTCCTGAGAATTATCCATATATATAAATATCAATTAAAATTTCTATTCGCTCGTGTATTGTATAAAACAACAAATGTATTTAAAAAAAGGCCAATTTATCGAGCAATATTTAAGATGTTGTATCCAATTAAAATTTATTTCAAAAACAATATATTAAAATTACAAAAAAACCTTCCATATAATTAAAATTATAAAAAAACCTTCCATATAGACGTTTCAACCGCACGCGGTCCATATATACATTAAACGCATTTCTTTTGATGGTAAATTAAAATGCTCTCTGAAAATAATTGAAAAAAATGTCGATTAATATGTCATCTTAATTCTGCATGTTGAATTAAGTTATTGAAAGAGGAATGTACGAAGAAATGAGGCTTCTTCGAAAATTGAATTTTCTACGAGGAATAATATTAGGAGAGAGAGAAAATCTCTCGGAATCTCTTGTATATCTAGGAGATTACTTCGGCATTCATCGCGAGAGACGTGGCGCCGTTCGGCTGTCTCGTTTGAACTCCAGATGATTGACGTGTTTATGACTACGAGTGTTCGTTCGCCTTCAACCACTCGAGTTTCGCGATGTCTCTCTCTCTTCTTTCGTCGGTCTTTATTCGCGATAACGCGCGCGCGAACGAGAAAATTTGAATGCCAAAAATTCCGATCGTCGGAGATTGATATTGCTATACAATAGAGTGACTAAGAATAATTGCACCGTAATAGAAATAGCGTACTCCTACATTTTCCTAGTAGAAAGTGCAAGAAACGCATCGTCGAGTCATCACTGATCGATATCGGAGCCTGAATAACTTCTTCACTTTTTGCATTTAAGGTTTCGTATTTATTATTTGTTAGGGAAAATATCTTTTATGTAAAGAATGTAATAATGATATAATAATAATTTATATATATTTATGCAAACGTATAATAAATATAATTTATGTAGATTCATTAGTTTCATGTCATTAAATTTGAAAATTTTCAAATTTTAAATTTTGTTTGAAAATGTATATGAATTATTGAAATCGATAATAATAAATTATTTTCAAACCTGAACATGACAAAGTTAAATTTTAAAACACGCTGTTCCGGGGCATACAAAGGTGGAATGAAAAGGGAAGTCATGTAAAAAATGTACTTGTGCAGTGTAACAGATTTATAATCAAAATATACCGGAAGCGTAATCAATCACAATATGGTGAAAGGTATTATTACTGGAAACAAGAAGCAAGAAATTCTGAAATAAAACGCATTGTCAGCTCCAACTATATAATATAACTTTTGCGAGAAATTTCATTCGATTCTCTCTTCCATTTGATTATTATTTCTGTCATATACGAGATTGTACACTGAAAAGATTATTAAATTAATAAATGTTTATTTCAATACTGTGCCTAATAAATTATTTATTTGTTTCGAAAAGGATTTTCTTGTATCAAATAAATATTTTTCACATCGAATCAATATTATTTTTTCAAATAACTGATTTATTTGGCAGTATTGAAATAAATACTGATTCGAATTCAATAAATCTTTTTTCCCGTGATATAAAAATCTAGAAATATATCTTCCTCGTTTAATCATTTTATTTGAGAACAAACATCTTATATACCTCTTCTCGCTTTTCTAATCTAGGGGAAGATTGATTAAATTATACTAACAGCTTGAACTCATGGATTTATTTCGAAATAAACGCTTTGTGGACGCGAATTAATTCCGACACGAGCGGATACTGTCCCGATTTTCCGAGTGGATTGCGCATAATGTATCGCATTAAGCGAGTATCTCGGAATACATTTGACAGATCGTTGTTTCGGTCTCCTTTCAGAAACTCTTGGTTCCGGGTCGGCGACCACGAAGCCAAAGAGACGAGCGTACTTGCTGAAGAGGAAGGCACTCACGACGGGCTTCTTCGACAATAAAGGGAAGGACGAGAAGGAAAAGGGTGAGCACAAAGCGCAATACCAGGTTAATCTCGTCATTAGTTTCGCTATACGATCGGAAATAACAATAATCTCGAGGAATAAACGTCTATTTATATTGTCTTGCGCGGCCGCTTTTTGCTCTCCTCTTAATTAAAATTACTCCCTTTTATCTTTCTCGTCGCGAACAAATAAAATTCGATATCGAGATGCTACATTTTATTTATACGAGATGACACAAGGAATCGCGGTCGTCGGGTCAAGCGAGAGACAAACGCGAGGGTTCAACGAAATGTTATAATGATCGACTTCTCTAATCGATGAGATTCTTTTTATCGTTACGACGAATGAAACTTGGGATAACAAGGCGTCTAGCGAAATTGGAATGCTTTTATTTTTATGTGACTCTTGGAAAAATGTAGGTATAACATCGGATTTAATTCGTAAAGATCTTCAATTAAATAAATCTACGTACAATGATTTTTTTTCTTCTATATAATATGTAATTTTATTTTTTTTATATTTAAAAGTATACTTTCTATTGTATTTGTGTTCATGAAAAAAATTAGTCATTATAGCTTAATTTTAGATTGTCCTTACCCTATATAATAATATAAAATTTAATCATGCTTAAATTTTAGCTATGATAACTGATATTTTTTAGCTATAGTTTAATGGAGAATTCTATAACTAAAATTTAAGCAGATAGCTAATTTTTTTTCCGTGCAAGAATAACTTTTTTTGTATACGAATTATTGAAATAGATAATAAATTTTTATCAAGCATGATTTAAAATAAAATTAAAATTCTATACAGACTTTTGGAGAATTTGCGTCGAATTTATATCATTGATGTGTCAATGAATGATATTTTTTCACGATCTGCAATTTCGGAAGCAGAAATATGAAATGTGAAAACACGCGAATCTCATTCCGAGCGTAAAGTACGCGATTTCCGAAAATCATCGAGATTGTCATTGGAAGAGCAGCGAATCGCAAATTGATTCGATCGATTAATTAAGTACGAAGTGCGTAAAATTGAATTGCGTAGAAATCCGCGTATTTAACAGTTGTATAATTTACGGCGCAATTATTTGTTTGGAGAATAACTAGTCCAGTTATTTTCAGACAGACGCAATTCAACATTTGCCGAAGTTTCTCTCTTCGAGAGAGTGATCCTCTATCATTTGACGTTTATTACGACATTCTTACGTATTTGTGCGCGAAATATAGATTTTAATCTACCGCGATCTACGAAGATCAATATTGCTCTTGGGACAAATTTCCAATCTATTTTAACCGATCTCTGCACGTCTCTCCTCAGTCTCGCCGTTTCAAATTCCATGCTTGGACTCGGAAGAATCAACTGAATCATTTATATCAAAAGATATTTGCAATTTCTAAACGCTATCTTAGCCAAAATTAACAAAAGTCCACTTTTGATGAAATTATATATGCTCAAGTAAAACATAAAATTCATAATGACATCATGATGTCGTCGCTTAAAAGTCGTTTTGGAAAAACATTTTTATTTATTCTATTATTCACACATATTCTAACAATATTCAAACAAATAATTTTTTGAAAATTATTTATTAACTTATATTAAGGGACTAAATATGATTCCTTTTATCATCTTGAAATTATTTTTGAATCATTTTTGTCCAGATAACTTTTAAGTATGAATAAAGTCATGATGACATCATAATGACATTATGATGATGTTACTTAAAATTTATTGTTGAAAAAAATGTTTATATATTACAATTATTTATTTATTCTGTTGCTCACACATATTCTAACAATAATCAAGCAACATAAATTTTTTGAAAATTATTTAAAGCGATTATCTTATATTAAGAGACTAAATATGATTCCTTTTATCATCTTTAAATTATTTTTGAATCATTTTTGTCCAGATAACTTTTAAGTGATGAATAAAATTATGAATAATTATTACGAGTTTTATGTTCTATCTGGATGAATATTAATGATAAGTAAACGCGAAACTAAGAAAAAGCAATTAACTCTAATTATACTGTATATCGGAAAAATAATACTGTAAAAATGTGTAAAAAAATTTTCATCGCAGGGAGGATATTTCCGCGGAAGAGACACACGCTATTTCCGGATTATTACTACCGGATCTCTCTACGCAGAAATGTAGATGAAATTCTTCCGTGAATCGTGCCAGAGATAATTGTTCCTCGTTTGTAGGCGGAATCGCTAATACGCGAGCAAACTTGCAATTTTCCGCGGCGAACGTCATTCGAAAAATTGCGCTCTCATTGCGAAAATTTCTAATTATGCGTTTCGTGCGCTGGGCGATTATTATCATTGCGACATTGTTTGTGCCGCACTCTTGCATTATGCTCGTTCGTGGCGTTTCAAGTAAAGATTCGATACGAACGGCAAATCGACTCACAGATAGGTGCATTCGATGTCGGAAATGGAAGCTCATGTAAAGTTTCCGCGTATCTCTCTCCGGATACATTACGCACTACTATAGCATATCATTGCGAATGCAAATGTGCAGCAGTGCTCTTTTACTTACAGTCAAGGAAACTCAAAAACCTCCACTAGGATGTATAAATCGCGTAAATCATCATTGTTGATGTCGCATTTAAAAAATGATAAAAAAATTAAACAACACAATTAAAAGGCAATAAGAATGTTACACGAATGTTGAACGAATTTATTTTAATTTTTGTCTGTTATTTGATATGTTATACTTTCTTTCACAAATAAATTACTAATTGATAGAATTTAATTAGCTCTTATTGCCTTTTAATTGTTGATTAATTTTTTAAAGAGCTTTTACAAATTATATACAAATTATATTATATAAAAAAATTAAATAAGCCAACTATCGAGCACAAAATTATATAGATATTCTCAATAAAATGTTTAATTACGTTATCATACATTATCCAAGAAATTGATATTCCCAAATTATATATATGTTATTAATATGTGTTTATATAATTGTTTATGTGTAATTTGGGAATATCAATTTCTTGTATAATGTATGATACGTAATGAAACATTTTACCGAGAATATCTATGTAATTTTATGCTCGATATTTGGCCTGTTTAACACATCAAGATCATTATTATTTGTTAAAAAATGCACGAGCGTTAATATATTTATTATTTTGATAACAATATATATAGAAAGATACGTATATAAATACATATATAAATAGATATATAAATAACTTAATTTCCAACAAGTCGAGATAAAAAATATTGACTTGAAAAATATGACTCGTTTATACAATTCCATTTGTTACAATACTATAAAAGATTTATTTCTCTTTTTTTTCATATCGGTTAACTTGATATCGAAGTAACTGATTGATTAAAAAATATTAAAAATATAAAAATATAAAAAGTCATACATATATAACTTAATTCAACAAATCGGAATAAGAATCAATTTGAAAAATGACTTACTTATACAATTCCATTGTTACGATATTATTAAAGATTTATTTTTCTCTCTCTCATTTTGGTTAACTTAATGTCAAAGTAACCGATAGTTAAAAAATATTATATTATGATATATAGAAAGTATATTATACATAAATAATTTAAAACAATGGTATTATATTGGCAATAAGAGTCAAACGTAGATATCAGTGCGCAAAACTTTACTCTTTATTCAATTTTCTCTTATTGCCAATACATATAATACCATTGTTTAAAATTAAAAAAGTCATAGTCTATTATTTATACATATAAATAACTTAATTTCCAACGAGTTAGGATAAAAATCGATTTAAAAATAATTTATTTATGCAATTTCATTGCTATTAAAAATGATTAAAAATTTATTTTTCTCTCTCTCTCGTACGGATTAGCTTGATATCGAAGTAGCTGATCGGGAGATGAAATTTGACTGCAGAAAATGCATCCTAATCCCGCGTGTGAGAGGCGGGCGCGGAGCAACATCGGTCGGCCAGGCTGGTATGAGACACAATTTCGCCGGCTAAAATTAGCCACGGGATGCTCGGTGGCGGTACATATTTCCGCATATATCAGGTTTATTTGCGGTCCGCGGGCACGCTGAGTACGCCTATGCGTAGGGACACCAGACGTCAATCGGGAATCTTCCCGCGAGGTCGCTCACTCCCTTTAATGCACCACCAGCTTTAATGTTCCTCCTCCAGGAGCGGCTATTAGTTGCATTCTCCAAATTTGTATCGCTGCACGGAATTTTCTTTTAGAATTTATTATGTATATAGAATTATATATTTTTTAAATAATATATATTATATTTTATATATTATATAATATATTGTAGAATATATATTATATATATTATAATATATTATAGCATATATAATTTATTATATATTCTATATATTATATATATTATAGAACTTATTATGTTTATATTTGTCCTGAAAATCTCCAGGAGCGGCTATTAGTTGCATTCTCCAAATTTGTATCGCTGCACGGAATTTTCTTTTAGAATTTATTATGTATATAGAATTATATATTTTTTTAAATAATATATATTATATTTTATATATTATATAATATATTGTAGAATATATATTATATATATTATAATATATTATAGCATATATAATTTATTATATATATTCCATATATTATATATATTATAGAACTTATTATATTTATATTTATCCTGAAAATCATAGTAATCGTAGGATAATATGGAATTGGAAGAATTTTATAAGAATTTCTTCGATTAATATTTATCACAATAAAAATATTAATATGTACGTAGTAAATTTTACTATGTAGTAAAATTAATCGAACATATTTTATATCTTATTTTGCAGTAGATATTAATATTTTTATTTTGTGATAGATACACTAAAAAAACTGACTAAACCTTTGAATTAAATTAAACATATATTAGTATTTAAGTCAAATATATGTTTTGTTAGATTTAATATGTTATATTTAATTTAAATTTTTTTTATATATTCAATTAACAAAATAATATTTAGTTGAAAGATTTAGTCAAGTCAACAAATTTTCGTTTTCACTGTATTAATCAGAGAAATTCATGTCGTCTCACGATTATCATAATTTTCAGGGTAAATTCCAAAGAAAATTTTTTTTGCGTTTTTGTACTTGGTGTATAAACATTCTTTGAAAAAAAACAATTAAGATATTAGTGCACATAAGAGAAAGAGGAAATGTAATTTTTTTAATTAGAAAAAACCGATATAGTTAACGTGAAAAAAGAAACGAGTACGAGATAAAGAAAATTAAGAAAAGAAAAAGGGAAGAAAAACAACACAAGAGAAATTGAATGTGCATAAAATAAAATAAATTAATATATAAAGAGAAAGTTCATTAATATAATATATATCGCGTGTTAAAAAATTCTATCACAAATTTTAATATCTACTGCAAAATAAGATATAAAATATGTTCGATTAATTTTACTATATAGTAAAATTTACTACGTACATATTAATATTTTTATTGTGATAAATATTAATCGAAGAAATTCTTATAAAAGACTCTTATATGCTATAATATATTATAATATATATAATATATATTCTACAATATATTATAATATATAAAAATTCTTTCAGACAGATCGACGAGCAAATCACTCGAGGATCGCGTCAAGTAACAATTCTCGGAAGAGGTGTTAAACACAATCGTTATCGTTCGAATGAGGCCTTCTTGAACGTAGAACGACACGTGACTTCGATGCTATAAATTTCATTTTCAAAGTACATTGGCGATCAAAATATACGCGCGCGGGCACAAACAAAGTTGCATCCACGTATAAATATACCTATCAGGAAATGTCAATTACTTAAACGTGTGCGTGCAACAAGATACACCGGGGATATTTATACACGCAATGCTTGCACTCCGCGGGTCTAAATACGTAGACTCGACATCGTACGGGGGTGGCAAAAGTGTTTGACGATCGATGCCGATCGTTTCGCGACGCTTCCAAGAAGAGGCTCGTTCTCTTCGCACATTGTAGTGCGTAAAGTTCGCGTTCCGCGCTGATTTCGTGGAGGAGACGTGAGAAAGAGACGGCCGGGATGGCCCAGATCGTGGTCTATAATCGGACCGGTATAGGGACATGGTTTGTTGACTTTCGGTTTTCAACTCCGGCTCTTTGGAAAAGAGTGGAAACTTTAGCGCCTTCCGGCAGGATTTTGCTTTCGCGACAAATCGCGTCGCCGAAACGAAAGACACATCTTGCTAATCTTTCGCAAGTATATATGAGGAAAACGAAAAGTGAAGCTCACAGTGTGTTGTGTTTAGATGATTTGAAAATTAGCTGGATAAGTATGTACACTGAAAAAATTTGTTCATTTGACTAAACCTTTCAACTAAATTACTATATTTTGTTAATTGAAATATATATTAATATTTACATCAAATATACATTTTGTTAGATTTAATATGTTATATTTAGTTTAAATATTTTTTGATGATAAAGATGATTTTGTTTTAAATATCTAGGTAAAACATAAAATTATATGACGATGCATCTAGATAACTTTCAGATAATATTATTTTTAAGACCGCTTATGCAAAATATAAAAAAAAATTATAAAAATATGTGATTATAAAAGGGATATAAAAATATATTCATACTTTTATTTATATATAAGTTTTTATCGCTTATTGCTTAAATTAAGTATTTTTATGTTGTATATGACTCTAAAACCAAATTATTTGAACATTATTCTCTAATAATTATAATAAGATAATTTAGTGAAGATAACACTTTGTCATTTAAAATGCAAAAGAGATAATACATATTTTTATTATCTATATAAAGATATAAGATGACGCCAAAATTTCATCTAGATGATAATCCATATAATTTTATTGAGACAACAGCAAACACTAGAAGCTAATATATTATTTAAAAATGAATTCCGCACCATACAAGACTCAAACTATCACGTGGAACGATTGCAGCCAGCTGTCAAAATGATTCCAAGCCTTGAAAAGGCTACAATCGGTATGTCGGGAAGCACTTCACGTAATCGAGTCGACGGAGTAACGAGTTTCATCGTATCAAAGTAATAGTTTCGTTGACAAAAAGCGAGCGCGAATCGAAGGGAATCGTGCGTGCAATATTCTCCTCGGTCCTTGATGTTATAGGTAATCGAAAATGATGACGCCGACGTAGCGGCAAATGTGTTTCGAATTTATTGGCTTTCATATCGCGAGGCGGACGTGGGCAGACTAAAAGAAGCTTCGCGCCTGTCTTTAAGGATTGCAATTTTGCGCGAGATACGTTTTTGGCCGCGCTCTGAAAGGACGGGCAATATATAGCTTCGGTGGGTGAGACACGCGTTCATGTTAATTAGTGTCATCGTCGTTAAACGCGTCATTCCTATACGGAAAAGAGGTCTGCTTTCTCGTGTGCGTCGAGACTCGAGTCGCAAAATATCTCAAGCCTTGTTAAATTAGCGCTATTAATGCAGAAAGTCCGGATAATTACAAAAGGATAATTTAGTGAAGTGTTTGTTATTATTTAAATAAAATTATATAGATGATCATCTAGGTGAAACTTTGGTGTCATCTTATCTTTATATAAATAATAAAAAATATTTTTCCTATACGGAAAAGAGGTCTGCTTTTTCGTGTGCGTCGAGACTCGAGTCGCAAAATATCTCAAGCCTTGTTAAATTAGCGCTATTAATGCAGAAAGTCCGGATAATCACAAAAGGATAATTTAGTGAAGTGTTTGTTATTATTTAAATAAAATTATATATAGATGATCATCTAGGTGAAACTTTGGTGTCATCTTATCTTTATATAAATAATAAAAAATATGTATCATCTATATCTGCATCTTAGATGAAAAAAAGTATTATCTTTACTAAATTATCTAGAATAATTTTCAGATTATTTTGCTTTAGCATAGCACATATAAAAATACTTAAATAGTTGAACTTAAACAGTAAGCGATAAAAATTTATAAAAGAATATGAATACATATATTTTTAAAAGCAGTTTTAAAAATTATTATCTAGATGAATCGCCATAATTTTATCTTTTATCTAGATATATTTAAAATAAAATCATCTTCATCTTATCTAAAATGAATTTACATATTTAATCTCATCTTTATCTAGCTAATTTTAAAATCATCTAAGTACAATACATGCTGCTGCTAACACATATATATATATATATATGTATATATATAATCGCGTTTGTTTTGCGCACGCAATCGCGTTAAAAACTCAATTGAAATTATTAAGAAAATACAATTATAATGCGCAATTTTCTGCGAAAACAGAATCATTTTGTGCGGTCTCGGCGAAATGTTGAAATGAAAATTTATTTTAAAATGATTATATACCCTGTCTTGCAGTTTCGTTCTTTTAGTATAATGAAAAGTTGCTCTTGCAGAGTATAATGGTATAATGAAAAGTTACTCTTGCTTAATCTTGTTTAAAGATACTTTATGTTATAATTAATCAGTCCTTTCGCCATTTCATTAAACAATTCGCGTTACGAAATACGCGTTAATTGATCGATGCATTGTATCGGCAAATCGTCATCAAATTATTTGATGGATACCCCGTTTTCATTAATGAGCTTAATTAACGGACAGCGCTTATTTATGTGCGAAATACGCACACATACACGTAAATTCGTCCACAAAGCGGCAGCTGACAGCTCGTAGATCAGATCGATGTTGATCTCGTGATGCTCGTTTGCTAGCCAAACGATCAAGGAGATTATGAATTACTCGGAAAAGAAGGATTTACTGACGAAATATCGTGCGTATGGTTTACAGCTAATAACCAGCCAATTTAGTAACATTAATTATATATACAAATGTATATCTCATTTCTTCTTTTAAATATATCGATAAATATTTAAATAAAAATATATATAATATTTATATATATTGTAGTTACATTACGCTGTAAAAAGAATATGTAATATATCACGTGTTTTTTTATACAGTATATAATAATAAAAATGCAAATTTTGATCATATTTTATATACTATAATTACAATTAAAATTTCTAATTAATAGAATGTATTTACTTAAAAAAATATTATTTCGAAGAAAAAAATCTTCAAACTCTAACAAAAGTGCGTATTAAATATATCAAATGAAACCAAATAATATCCCACATTTATAAATATAAGACGATGCGTGTTATATAATAATAATACGAATTGTAATTAAAGAATCTTAAAAAATTGATGTATAACATTCTTTGGTGAAATGGATTTTTTGAAAAGGTAGATGTGTGTGCAAAGCTCTGAAATTTGTATCTTCTCTCTTGCTCGCAGACGTAGCTGGCGGTCTGGTATTTGGTATACCATTGTCGCAGTGCGTGGAGAATGACAGGATCGCCAGAATTGCCGCTGGAGAGGTCGCCGATGTGGGTTGCCTGAGCAGGAGCAGCAGACACGGCAGCCGGACCAGTTTTTCCAGCCTTATAGAAACACCTACGACCGTGGCAGCGAAAACGGAGGAGGTAAGAGATGATCGGAGACTGATAAATAAATATCATCAAAATTATTGCATGAATTACTTGCTTCGCTTGATATCTTGCATATATTTTGTAAAGTGTACATTTGTCACATTTTTCTTTCGGATTTATATGCGCTACATGTTTCCCTTTCTTTTGAATCTATTTTATTCTCGCAGGTTATTTATGAATCTCTTTGTTAAAAAAATTTACATTTTCGAGAAATACACAGAGAGATAAAATAAAATAACAATAAATGCAATGAAGAAAAAAATATTATTAAAATTAAAAATAATAAAAATATTACCTAATTTGTCCACAAGATTTTTTCTTTTGAGAATAACAATAAATATTCCTATAATCCATAAACTTAAATTAATAAAAAGAAATGATTAAAAATCATAACCAAATATTAATCTTAAATTAATTCATAATTATCCTTAAATATAAATTAAAATATAAATCTTAATCTAATAAATAACACAAATTATAATAAATTTTTTTTTAAATATTAATGTATTAAATACCACAATAAGATATAAAATATGTTTGATTAATTTTACTATGGACATATTAATATTTTGTATTGTGGTAAATATTAATCAGAGAAACTTTTATAAAATTCGATATTGTTCCACGATCGATTATTATGATTTTCAGGGTAAATTTTAAGAGAAAATTCCCCATGTGTTTCTTTTAACTGTTTTATGAAAATTATGATAAAGAAAATAGAGACATGTTGGAAAAGATAGATGCGAGTGTTGCATATTGACTTCCATCTTGCGCCGAACAAGACGTTGACCTGTATTACTTACAAAAGTTTCTTTCGAGTGGTAAAGCTTGGCAGCTGATCGGCCGACCATTAAAGATGCGCCCGCAAGAGACGAGCAAATATAGAAACTTAAAACGGTACTCGTACTCTACACGACAAAGTACGAAATTTATGTAATTCTTCTAGCCCGTGTAATAAACAAGGCAAGTTAGAAGGCGAACTCTCGCGGACGGAACGCATATGTCTTTATACATTGTACCTATTTCTTTAGAAAAATTTAAGACAATTCTCGCTCTCTTATATGTACGTATAGTAACGTAAAAGCTACACTGAAAAAAATTATTTAATTTGAATAAGTATTTATTTCAATATTAATATTGATTTTTGATATGAAAAATATTGATTTGATACAAGAAAATCCTTTTCAAAACAAATAAATATTTATTTGTTTCAAATACATGATTCATTTGGCGGTGTTGAACTTTAAGTATGTATTAATTTAGTTAATTTTTTCAGTGTAGCGTGAGAATAGAAAAATCGAATTGAACAACGCCCAAAATTCTGCGTCGGGCATGTCGAAACATCGAGGACTGATCTCTCTTTCCTCGTCGACGTCATATCGCTTAACGACATCATCCCGTGTTGCGTCATCGGGCTTGTCGAGAGCAGGCGGTTTATCGATGACCACTTGCGACGCGGCTTTGCCAGACGTCGAGTTTGCAAGTGGTTATTTTTCGACGGATACGTCTGACCGATGGCCACGAGCACGCCATTTATCTCCATGTTCTGTCTTAAGACGTGGTCAGGGTTGTGATACCACGAGGGAATTAGGGCCAGCTTCTACCAATGTCGATTAACTTCAAACTTTTCAAATAAATTCTTAAAAAGGGACGAAGATGTAGAGGTTTAATTTAATCAACGTGGGTAGAAACAGACCTAATTTTCGCATTAGGTTTTAGCTTCCACGTAACAAGAGAATACGTCGTGTTTTTTTAAAGAAATCGTCTTCAAATAAATTCTTAAAAAGAGACAAAAATATAGTTCAACCAGAGGTTTAAATTGACTGATGTTCATAGAAATATATAAATGTATATATTTAATAATGTTATATTTAGTCTTTTAGTTTTTTTTTGGATTCTCAGATTACAAGAAGCAATGAAAGAGATCCCCCAACATCGATCTTAATATTATATATATAATTTCTGCGGTAAACTTTTCTTTGAAAACTTGACCCGGGATCGATCATTCTTCAGAAGTTTGAACAGTGATCAATGATTAGGGAATTTAATTTCAAACTTCTATTATAACAGGATAGAAATTGTCTGAGAGAAAAAGAGATTTTCGTTTCTCCGTCATCCCCCAACATCATGTGGCTTCGTGGAATTCTTTAACTTATGTCCTGGCAGAGAGCGAGAGAGAAAGAGTGGGCGGGTTTTTATATAAATTTCTACTTTCAGAGGAAAAGTTTGTATACTCTAAGACTATACTTTAAGTGCAGCGAAGTGAAGTATATACCTTTACTATTTGCTTTTATTCTTATTATGAAAGACGTCTATAGGAAGAAATAAAAGTACGTCGCCGTCGCGTAAGTTTCATCTTACAAAACTTTCTCGTCCTCTTTTGAATGTGACAGATCTTTGACATCCTAATCGGAAGTGAATATTTCAGTTTCAGAAGCGCCGTCGTCTGGGTAGAAAAACAATTTTTTTTTGCTCGAGAACGGACTCGTTCATCGTTATTTTGAGAAGGCAGATTGGTGGGTTTCTCGATCTACAAGCGATGCAATATTATTCTCGATACCTTACGACGTCTGGTTTCGACAACAGAGTTATAGCCCGACCGTAACCTACGATAACTCGCACTATTATATAATAAAATAACAGTCTCACGATGTCTCTCTGGATAGTTATTTTCGAGAGGATTTAGCTATTTTCTTCTCTCTTCGCGGTATTTATAATTCTCTGATTAAATTGTAGACTTTTGAGAGTATGAATCGCGCAGCGGAAAATTTTTGTTTTTTTCACGTGGAATCCGAAATGTAAATACCGATATTTTCAATATTATATATACGACATACATATATATGTAAATATAAAAGAGATATCTTTTATTAAAACTTTTTATTACAATTGTAACCATCTTGATAAATCGAGAATCGAAGTTGATTCTTATTATTGAGACCTCTTGCAAGAAACACCGCGGGCGATGCAGGAGCAATAAAGTAGGGTAGCAGTTAAGCGACTACGAGCTTCCGTTTCCGTTCGCATAACGACTTCATCAGTTTCGAGAATTTCACAGTTCAATTTCAGTTTCATAGAATTTCCTAATTAACTTTCGCAATATGCGTCATGCAAACTTTCACCTTATTGTTATTCACGATACGGTATGGACAGAAATAATATTCAAGAATAGTAATTCGAATTTATAGGGTTTTAATTAAATGTCATTGAATCGAATAAAGATGATTTCTCTTTTAGCGAAAATATCGAGGCATCGATAATTTTCAAATTACAAGAAATTAAGAAGAAGGAATTTCCGTTTTAAACTATTATTGTGATTTAAAATTGCGTTCTGTTAATTTTAGGTGGTTTATTTTATATAATCAATTACAAAAGTATATGATTAGAATAATTAGGAATTTGCAAAAAATGATGACCTTTCTACGAAATTATATTTTCGCTAAGGAAAAATCGACTCTAAATTTTCCGAAAATTTTAAAACATCCTTTAAAATTATATTATGTATATAAGCCCTGAAGATCAAATTTGTAATAAATTTTCGATTAAGGGCAAATCGTTTTCGCTTAAGCGTCTTTTCTCCGAAAACGAGGATAAAAAACCACAGATGGTTCACAGATGATTTCTCAAATGTTCGGACATAAATTTTATATCGCCCAACCACCGTAAACCCGAATTGATATTTGACCTTTATAGGACACGAACTTTGACATTTTTTAACAAAACTTTTACTCGTATAAATTTCCCGAATATAAACCGATAGCGCAACCTTCCTCGTCCCTTTTTCCTAACTGTCTTCGTCTCGAGATAAATCGAACGGAGAGATGAGTAAATTGACAGGGGAGGAAAGACAAATATTGCACCCGCAAACACGATCGTAATTTCCACATCGCGAATCGGGATTCTGGAAGAGCTGTATCCGACGCACTTCCGCAATCGCTCTCTTCCAGCCGACATTGACGAATGTCATTATTCCGAACGATCGGCGGAAATTAATTCGTCCCGCCTACGTTTCCCGTTTGTTTTTATACCATTCTGCTCCGGAATCAACGTATTTTCTCTTTAGTGTGGATCCAATCGATGAAATTAATTTCGAGAAAATTTGTTTACAAGTTGTACGTATAGGTATATGAGAATTCTTTATGAAAAGAGTCACACACGATTGAAAATCTAGAGGTTTTCCTTGAACGAATATACATATGCTTGAGGAAAATATTTTAAGATATGATAAAATTTTGCTTCTTCTATTTATTTCGAGCGAAATTTGTGCACCTGTGGGTGTTTGTTTGATTCAAGGTTTCAATCCCGCTACACTCGATATTCAGAATTAATTACAATTATTAAATCATCTGTGAACGAAAGGTCGTAATACTGATGAAATACTTGATGCATGCATTCGCCTACACGTTCAAGAGGAATAGATATTTTTATTAGTACAAATTTGTATCAATGTGATGTATATATTAAAAAAAGTATGATATATAGTGTCAATTAAAATAAGAGACAGTGAAAACTAAAGAGATTAAAAAGTAATTTTATTAGAGGAGAGAAAGAGCAATAAGGAAAAAGTAGAAACTAAATATTAGACCGAATCGATCGAGATAATTGAAACCGATAATAAAGCACCGTCGTAACCAGAAATTGAGGTGTCGCTTGCACTTGAAATTTTTACCGGAGTCTAAATCAGCTGTTCGCGGGACCCGAAATATCTATGCTTCATCGGCAGAAATAGCATCGATATATTTTATAATATCTCTAATCCGCCCTCGCGCGTATGTTTCGCGGTTTACTTCCGGCTATTCTCGATCAATGATATTAAATTATTAACATACTGGAAAAAGAGAAAAAAGATCAGAGAACTTCTTTGAGCGACACGAAAACTTTTTACAGTCGGTTTTCATCGCGCGAAAATTTCCATCGTCTAATTTACGATACAACATTAAATAATAATAACATATTAATTTTCTGATTTAAAATCTGATAAAGTTGACTTTTATAAAAAATGTTATCCTTATCGGAAATAAGTTAAAAATAATTTTGTTTCGCGGTTTATTTCCAGCTATTCTCGATCAATGAGATTAAATGATTAACACACTGAAAAAAAGAGAAAAAGAGATCACAGAACTTCTTCGAGCGATACCAAAAATTTGTACAGTTGGTTTTTATTGTGCGAGAAATTCCGTCGTATAATTTACGATACGGTATTAAATACTAGCTTATTATAATAATTGTTTGATAATTTTTGTAAAATCTGACGTTCATGAAAAATATATCCCGATAAATGTTATCCTTATCGGAAATTAAGGTATAAAAACACTTTTGTTTTGTTTTCTTTTTATAGTACGAAGAAATATAATTTACGATACGGTATTAAATAACAGCTTATTAATTGTCATTCTTGTAAAATCTGACAAAGCTGACGTTCGTGAAAAATGTATCACGATAAATGTTATTCTTCTCGGAAATGAAGCTAAAAACAATTTCGTTTCTTCTTATGTCTTATAATCGAAGAAATGGAACAAACTTGGCGCGAAAATTGTGTTTTAAAATCAGAAAGATATCATCGGAGATCTCTTAATCTCTAGCTCTACTTATCGTTTTTCTCTTGGCATCTTTGCGAGACCACGCCTAACCTGATTGATCGATCGATATACGTACAACGGTGAGGATAGGACGACGTAGAATTCTCGTGTCGACGTCACGTGAGTCTCTCTCGCGTCCGAGGTGACATCATGAATTCGGAGACGTGAATAGAACGGGAACGGGATCGCTAATTTTAACCACGGATTAATTAGGAACCCTCAATTTCGCGAGGGACTTTATTTTAGCGTTCTCGACACACGAAGAAAACGATTTCGCGCGCTTCAATGCTTCATCATGGTGCATATTTTGACACCGCCGAGTTAATCTTTTTTTCGCAAAATTTATCGTGTACAGAATAATATCGTCTCTACAGTATCTGCATGTGAAATTAAACATCTGATTTTATTCATAGAACGTTTATATCGATGTTTGCAAATTTTTATTTTCGCGCATTCTAGCTTAAAAACGAACGAATACAGGCCATCGAACGTTAAAAGTGTGCCACAATTTCCGTTATCGATTATATATATTTTACTAAAAAAAGTCAGTATTATATATATCTCGGGATGTCACAGAAATTCATATTCTAAATATGGAAAAGGCTAGTAAGAGCCAGATATATATATATATATATATATATATATATATTAAATACAATAAAATTATTTTTAAATTATTCTTCTATAACTTGTTTTCTTATCAGCGCAAGTCACATTAGACAAAATAAGTATAGAAGAATTTAAAATAATTTTGTTGCACTTAATATCTGTGCCATAATATTCATACTTGAATTTGTATTTACACAGGGTGTATCTAAATAACTGCGAAAATTTTTAGATGATTCTTTGTCGAAAATTAAGGGGAGTTTCTTATATAAATAAATCCCTCCCTAAGGAATTACACTTTATGACAAATTAAAATTTAAATTTCAGACAAATTAAAAAATGAAACCTGGTGGGTATTTTCCACTAATAAAAAGGATATTTATTAATATTAAAAACATAAAAACTTAAAATTTAGAGTATATATTTATATAAAAAGAGCCCTTTAATTTTCGACAAAGAATCATTTCCTAAAATTGTTCACACTTATTTAGATACATCATATATGCAGAATATCTTTTCGATTTTATCAATTTATTTGTTTATTAATTTATAGTTTTTAAATTAATTTAGTCACAAAAATTGTTCTTCGTTTTCTATGTACTTACTTATCCCCTGTTATGCAAATGATATTTTCCTCTGTCGATCTAGGGTGGTTCCTGCGAGTCTTTGTCGTCGAAAGGCGGTGCTCTCACAGGAAGCGATTCCGGAGTGCTCGAGCTGAGTGACAGCGGTGGAGGAAGTCCCGCTGGTGAATGGGACGCGGTGCCGGCCATCGTAAGGCAATGCATTAGGCATCTCGAGGCCACTGGTCTTCGAACGCTAGGCGTGTTCCGCGTGTCACCCTCGAAGAAGAGGGTGAGGCAGGTACGACGTCCTCTTTCAATAATCGATGAGAATACTTTGACATTAGCTTTAACGTCACGCAGAAGTTTTCGGAGATAAAATTTCTCGATGTAAAGATATTGCGAGGCGATCTCAAAAACTCTCTCTTATACGTTATTAATTGTCTCATTTTCTTCCAATTATTCTGCAAGCAAAGTTTTCTTCTTAGTTTTATTTTCAAAAAAGGACATATATGTAGATTTAAACGAAAATTATATATAATTTCTTGTTGGTAAAAAATTAAATGATATAATTTGAATTAGTTTTTCGGGTTAATGTGAGCTTAAATTAACAATCTATTTTTGAAAGATATAGGATTATTGGATTCTGTCTTAGCCTTCGTAATATTGTCCATTACTGCGTATTCCGATCGTCGGTGGAAATTAAACATTTATCAAGCGGAAAATCGATTACTTTGAGAATACAAATTAGTCGCTTAATTTTATTTAAAGCGACTCAAACGACACAATTACACATCTTCTCTCTCTCTCTCTTCGGAAACGAGAGAGACATTATTTATGCAACCTTAAGCGTGATGTTTGTAATTAATTCCAGTTAAGGGAAGACTTTGATTGCGGTCGGGAGACCAAGATAGGCGCCGATCAGTGTCCTCACGACGTAGCCACTCTTCTGAAGGAATATTTCCGCGATCTGCCGGATCCTCTGCTTTGCAGGGAGCTCTATCAAGCCTTCGTGCACACGCAAAGTAAGCTAGATTCGACATAAAAATTATTCGCGAATGTTATCTCTCTCCCATTTTTTCACCTCAGTTCGCGATATCCATAAACGTTTTTCGAAAATTTAATTACGCAATAATAGATGTCGATTGATTTTCCCCATTTGTTTCCTCCGAGTTTTCAAGTTTTTCCCGTGGATTTTCAAGGAACGTTCACGACGAAGGCGCGATAAAACGAGTCATTCGAATGTTTTTTCAGAGATCAGGAACAGACGGTTGCAGCAGGAAGCTCTCCAGCATCTCATTCAACTTCTGCCCACGCCCAATCGCGAGACACTCTGGGCACTTTTGAACTTCTTGAGCGTCGTCGCGGCTAACAGTGAGGACCAGAAGAGCGAGACCGGGGATTGGATTCCGGGAAATAAAATGGATTCGACCAACCTCGCAACTGTCAGTATCCGGCACTTTTCGACTTCGATTTCTCTTAGATATTCCCCGTTTGATTTTCTTCAATTCGCGCGCGTTGCACCTAGTTGACTTTCGTCGAGATACGCAAGAAGAATTCTTTATCAGCTCAAGTACGACGATGAAATTTTTGCGTTTCTCTTTTCTTTATCAATTCTGTTAAACGGAGAGAATTTTGATCTTTATAAGCGTCTGTGTAATCGACATTTTTATTTGCTTATTATACCTCAAAATTCTCATTTTTTTAATTTAAATTATGTAACGAGGAAGAGCTCAAAAATTAATTTAAATTGCTCGCAATGACAAATCTGCAAACATAATCGTCGTTACATATTTTTAATTGCGCATTCAAGCGACGAGAAAGAATATTTGTTTAAGAAATGTCAGAGAGAAATTGTTTACTTGGCAAAGATTGAAAATTCATACGCAAGAAGAATTTTTTATCAGCTCAAGTACGACGATGAAATTTTTGCGTTTCTCTTTTCTTTATCAATTTTGTTATACGGAGAGAATTTTGATCTTTATAAGCGTCTGTGTAATCGACATTTTTATTTGCTTATTATACCTCAAAATTCTCATTTTTTAAATTTAAATTATGTAACGAGGAAGAGCTCAAAAATTAATTTAAATTGCTCGCAATGACAAATCTGCAAACATAATCGTCGTTACAGATTTTTAATCGCGCATTCAAGCGACGAGAAAGAATATTTGTTTAAGAAATGTCAGAGAGAGAAATTGTTTACTTGGCAAAGATTGGAAATTCATAAGATTCTGCTACGCGTGTAAAACTGTCTACGCGTGTAATCGACATTTTTATTTGCTTATTACATCTAAAAATTCCCGTTTTTTAAATTATATAGCGATGCAGATTTCCAAAATTTAAATTGCTCGTAATGATAAATCTGCAAACGTGATCGTCGTTACGTATTTTTAATTGCATATCCAAGCAACGAGAAAGAATAATTGTTTAAGAAAAAATGTCAGGGAAAAATTGTTTACTTGAGATTGAAAATTAACTTGGATCTCGTTTTTTTTAATCTCGCACAAGATTCTGCTGCCCGTGTCAATCGTTATATTGTTATATCGCGAACAGGAATTTCTGCGCTGAAGCTTTGAGATTAATTAATTCAACACGCGCTCTCGGCTACCGTCAATCATCGAAAAACGGCGAAAAAAATTCGCTGTTTTAATTAAATTAGAAGTCGATAGATCGTATTTCACGGACGACGCGAAACAATCAGAAACACGAATACCGCGTATTCCAGGTGTTCGCCCCGAATATCCTGCACTGCGTGAAACCCAGCCAGATGAGGTCGGAGGTCTCAACGGAGAGAGCCGAGGAGAGAATAGATGTGATAAACGTCGTACGTACGCTTTTGGAACACACGTCGACTCTTTTCACGATACCGGCGGCGCTGGTGGACGAAGTCTACCAGCATATGATGGACACTCATCCGGCGGACCTGGACATCGCCCTGTCTCGTCGCGTCGAAGAGTAAGTATCGCGATTTATTGAGTAATCGAGCTTCGATTAATATCAGGAGGGATGCGTGGATATTTCATTTTTATAACCGAAACCGCGATAATTTTGGAATGAAAACGAGAATTTCCTCTTATCAGTTTTAACCCAGCAAACTTCGATATATAATTGTTACATTGCTATAATAAAACGGAATATAACAGGTAATATAACGTGTACGTTACATGTAACATCCATGTTAGTTGTAATTTCCCACTCATAGATGTAACATTTGAATATATATTACATTGTAGTTATATTGTAATTATATACCAAATAGCACATTGATGTATTGATAAGTCAGTGCTATCTTGGGATATAATGACAATATAACTACAATGTAATATATGTAATATTAAAAATGTTACATCTATGAGTGGGAAATTACAACTAACATATACGTTACATGTAACATGCTTAAATATATAACATTTATATACTGTGTTTGCTGGGTAGGCTTCTCGCTGATCATGTTAGAATTGTGACGTCAGAGGCGAAAAAACACGCTAAAAATTCTTGGATGTCATCTTGAAATAAAAGGATATTTCGATGAAACAGCACTTTAGATGGCTTTAGCACACTCTTAATAATATATTCAATCAACAGCTGTAAAACGATTGTAATATGGGGCCCAGCCTGCTTTTTGCACATGTGCAATCATTCTGCACGACAAAGTCTGATATTAAGATTATTTTACAGTTGTTGATTGAATGTCAAATAAAAAATATAGTTTTCGCGGTATTTTAAAAGCCATCTGAAATACTTAAAGTGTTTCATCAAAATATCTTTTTATTTAAAAATGAACCTAAGAATTTTCAGCGTGTGCTTTCTCGCCTCTGACGTCACAATTTAACATCGCCGCAGCAAAGATCCAGGAGCTTTAAAATAAAATTCTCATTATTTTGCAATTTCATATTATAAATATTCATCATATTATTTGCCTGTTTCATAATTCATAAAGAATTATCTAAATATTCTGTAGCTTCAACAAAGAAACAAAGTTCACGACAGAAAGTACAAGAACCACATAGAGCTACGAGTTACATTAAAAATTACAAAGTACATATACACTTGTTAAAAGTTATTTCTCAAGTGTCATAGATATATACTAGATAGATCTATAGACTTGAAGTTGTAAACTTCGCAAAATTGAGGGCGTTACATATTATTGGTCTCCGAACGGCTCTTCGGTCGCGTAAAATATTTTATCGGGTATTTTAAATTCCTGTGAAAAAAGGCGGTTTTTCGGAGTCGTGAATTTTGTCCTTGACCTAACGGGAGTGGAGTCTCTCGTTTACGCGCGGCGATCGATACCGCCCGAGGTAAAGATGTTCCACGCGTATTTACGCCCTTCTTTGCGAATCACAGTGTAATAATATTGAGACAAAAACGTCGAAGTAAAGTGCCGTACGTGCTTTTGCAGACAATGCGGAGATGATGTGGATCCCTGTAGCGAGGCGGAGACGTTCTCGGTGGAGGAGACGCTGACTATGTCAACAAACACCGCGGCAACGACGACATCGACGAGAAAGGTACAATTCATGCATTTTATATCCGTTTATCCGGCTGTTAAATTTAATGTTTACAACTTGAGACCAGAGAGAGACAAAGGACTTGGCTTAAAAAGGGTACATTTTATGAGCGTCAAAGACACTCTTGGAAACGTATTTAAATGTTTGGAACGAGAACGAACTAAGCTCTTAATTGCGAGATTCGCTGTTAATGTCAAACCATATACTCCTAAATTTTAAACCATTCTTCCCTCAAGTGCTTCGATTATGTACTCAGATAAAAATCTGTGATTTTAAGATTATATACCATCTCTCGAAATTACAGTTTTGAGTTTTATCAGAATATATATATATATACATACGATCGCTCTTCAGTATAATAAAAGCAATTTAACTTTGAAACTTTTTGAACATTTTCAAACTTACTTAATTTAACAAAAAAATTTTAAATACTAAAATTGTTTCACTGAAAATCCCAGAGAGATTAAACCTACACGGAGAGAATTTTTCTTATAATTTATCCTGAAAAACATGATGAAAAATCATGGGACAATAGGTATTTGGAAGAATATTATTTAAAATATTATTAATATATTAATATATTTAATATATTAAGATTAATATTTACCACAATAAAAAATATTAATATATACATAGTAAAATTATAAAATTAATCGAACATATGTTATATCTTCTTGTGTGGATGTATAATAAAAGCAATTTAACTTTAAAACTTTTTGACATTTTCAAACTTACTTAATTTAACCAAAAAATTTTAAACACTAAAATTGTTTCACTGAAAATCCCAGAGAGATTAAACCTACACGGAGAGAATTTTTCTTATAATTTACCCTGAAAAACATGATGAAAAATCATGGGACAATAGGTATTTGGAAGAATATTATAAGAGTTTCTCCGATTAATATTTACCACAATAAAAAATATTAATATGTACATAGTAAAATTATAAAATTAATTGAACATATGTTATATCTTCTTGTGTGGAAGGCATTAATATTTTTATTGTGATAAATATTAATCATAGAAACTTCAAACACAGCAAACTGACGTTCTTATAAAATTCTTACTCCAATACAAATTCTAAGAGAATTCTAAGAGAAGATTCTCTGTGTAAAATTATACAGAATTACATAAAAGAATATAATTTTATCTCAGCACTATTTCATCTCTATATATTAAAGCATTATTCCTAAATTATTACGCGTGACGTTGTTAATCGAAAATAACATTCTCTCGTTTCAGATGTGGACGAGAGAACAGTGTCTGCATCAGACCGCCGGCGTCGGCGGTGATATAGGACCAAGGCCGAGACGGCCCAAGAGGCCAGGAAGCCGAAGAAAGGAGGAAGGCAGAAGCAACAGCGTCGATAGCGGATCGAGCGAAGATCCGTCCGATCCTCGCCGAAGGTCCTCGCCAGTAGTGATTACCGCTAGTCTCACCATACCCATGTCCGACGCGTTCACCCTGAACCTCGACGATCCGGACATTCCTTACATCGAGGAAGCGCCGAAGCAACCGAGCGCTCCCCCGAGGCGCCAGAGGCAGAGATCGATCTCTGGTTGCAGCGAAGGTTCGCGTTTCATATATAATTCGATGTCGTTCCATAGATAGTACATGTAGAGTTGCCTAGTTGCAAATTATATACCTTTTCTTAAAAAACAACTGTGTTTTTTTTTCTTCGTGCCGATTGATCTCCTCTCGTTATTTCGCGCATAAAAACAAATTATTGAGGTACGATTATCGAAAGATGAATATTTCACGAGATATTTCATAGTTTTTAAATTCTGTCGAGGTATTAAATATTTCGTAAACTATTCACTTTTTTGGCCATCCTACTCTTACAACTTTTTATGCTGAATATTGAGAGGAATCAATTTGTTATAAAAAATTAAAGTGGTTTTAAAAAAAGTCACGATATTACGTCCCCCTTCGAAGCTCTAAAACTTTTGCCTAATATATGTATTTTTTTTACAACTCCGTGATTTTCAAATATTTCTCTGTTGATATTAAAATTATTTACTTTATTTTATAATATAAATATTATTTTGCATATTAGACATTTTCAAATAAATGTTAAAATATACAGCAGCTTATACCTGACGCATCTTAATAACATAGCAGTGATTAAGAAAAAGAAATAAATAAAGCGATTCAAAGTTTTTGATCTTCTCCAAATAAACTATTAGGTAGAAGTAAATATACCCAGCAAACACCGATATATAATTGTTACATTGCTATAATAAAACGGAATATAACATAACGTGTACGTTACATGTAACATCCATGTTAGTTGTAATTTCCCACTCATAGATGTAACATTTGAATATATATTACATTGTAGTTATATTGTAATATATACCAAATAGCACATTGATGTATTGATAAGTCAATGCTATCTTGGGATATGACAATATAATTATAATGTAATATATGTAATATTAAAAATGTTACATCTATGAGTGGGAAATTACAACTAACATATACGTTACATGTAACATTTATATACTGTGTTTGCTGGGTAAAGTAACATCTAAGCTCGCGCGAATCCCAAAACCCACGTGTCCTCTCTTTCTCTCTCTCTCTTACCCAGCAAACACAGTATATAAATGTTATATACTTAAGCATGTTACATGTAACGTATATATTAGTTGTAATTTTCCACTCATAGATGTAACATTTTTAATATTACATATATTACATTGTAGTTATATTGTCATTATATCCCAAGATAGCACTGACTTATCAATACATCAATGTGCTATTTGGTATATAATTACAATATAACTACAATGTAATATATATTCAAATGTTACATCTATGAGTGGGAAATTACAACTAACATGGATGTTACATGTACAACGTACACGTTATATTACCTGTTAAATTCCGTTTTATTATAGCAATGTAACAATTATATATCGGTGTTTGCTGGGTAGCTACATGATAGACACGCTATATTATAATTTCCGACGGAATTAAAAATGTCGAAGCATCTCGTGAGGTCCCGCGGTCCCGATCTAATATCGTCGCTTTCGCAGGCGGAAGACACGGAAGTGACAGCGCGGTAGGATCGTCGGCGACCCTGTCGGGCGATCAAGCGCCGAGTTCTCCGCCGTCGTGGGCGTCTTCGCCCCCAGCGAGTCCCGACAGCGCGGTCACCGCCGTCTCGTACATCCCGGATCAGCAAGCGGTTCTCCAGAGGGTCTCGTTCACGACCTCGAGCGAGGTGAGGCAAGTGGGCAGGTCGACCGGTCAGCAGGAAGCGAGCAGGAGCACGACGGCTCCGTACACGCCGAGCATCACCAGCATTGGCGGTGCGGTTTTGAGGCGAGTATATAATATATATGTATAATATTCCGCGTTGCGGTTCTGTAATATCTTCTCTTCTCTTGTCTCTTCTCTCCTCCTACTCGTCTGAACTGTAAAAGTTGTCGGAAAGTTTTACAAGACTCTCTTTCTCTCTCTCTCTGAATTTTTACACCACCCTGATGAGGTTTTTATTGAGATTGATGCGTGCGTGGATACACTTAGAGACCCGTCCTTCTTTCATGTAACTGTTTGTAAGGAATATTTATTTTATTCGTAAAGTTTTTTTTTTTTTATGGACGGATCGATCACGCGGAGACAAGCTCTCGTTTTATTTCATGATAGGTTTAAGACACTGTTCATCATTTCGCATATAGACTCTTGTGCCAAATAACGCATGAATAAGAAATTTGTTGTTAGAGTAAATTCGATAAGATTCTTCATTAATTCTCCGCTTAATTAATCATCCGGGTTAAACTTATTAGAACAGTCAAAGTTTCTTGACACGCGCTAAGACGTATATATATACGTACTTAAAAATTTAATTATCACACGATGTAGCTTATAAGAGAAACCAACATTACTAATCGAATAAATGGACACTAAAAAAATTTGTTACTTGACCAAACCTTTCAACTAAATTACTATTTTGTTAAGACTCCTGGCTCCTCGCCGATCATGTTGGATTTGTGACGTGAGAAGTGAGAACACACGCTAAAAATTCTGGCGTGCCATTTTTAGATAAAGATATTTCGATGAAATATTACCAAGATGGTTTTAGCACACTTTTAAAATAGTCCGAAAACTATCTTTTTCCCTTTATAATCAATCAACAGCTTAAAATGACTTAATATGAGGTCTGGTCTTTGCGCAAGCAGTTCATTTCGTATGACAAATTCTGATATCATGATCATTTTAGGGTTGTTGATTGACTATCAAGAGGAAAAAATTATTTTCAGACTATTTTACAAGTGTACCAAAGAGATTTGTAGCGTTGTTAAAATATCTTTTTTATGTGGAAATGGCACACAAGAATTTTCAGCGTGTATTTTCTCGTCTCTGACGTCACAATTCAACATGACCTTAATTGAACATATGTACATTAGTATTTAAGTCAAATATATGCGTTTTGCTACATTTAATATATTATATTTAATTTGATATTTAATTTATATTTATGTTCAAAATTAACAAAATAATATTTAGTTGAAAGGTTCAGTCATAAACTTTTTTCAGCGTAATTTATAATAAAAAATAATATTTCCCTCTAATATAATCTCTAATAAAAGTGTGTAATTTGTCTGAAATAAATTCTGTATAAATATTTCGCGCGATCCAACGCGAATTTTCACGCTCGCGCTGATTCAGGTCCAAGACCGCCGACATCGAGAGGATGCTGCAGATCTCGCGGCGGGACGTCGACCTCGCGCCGACCCTGCAGACGGGCAAGAACTCGACGGTGACCTCCGGCGAGAGCAAGAAGTACACGAAGAGGCGGTACACGGACACGAGGCATCAAACGCGCCACATACCCGACGCCGACACCCTGGCCGGCAAGACGTCGACGCTCGGCGCGACGTCCACCACGTCGACGATGTCGTCCCCGGTTACCTCGGCGATGACGACGACGCAGAATCAGCGCGTGCAGTCGGTCTGGAAGAGACGGGAACTGATCTCCAGCGCGCCCAAGGAGGGATACTTTTAAATTTTATATTATCGCGATTGACGTATCGAATCGAGATTCGAGATCGATTGTCGATGGATTAAAAGCTGCTCGAGCCAAACATTATTATTATTTTTTAAGTATAAGTACAGGCAATAAGAGCCGATCGCGGAAGATAGTGCGTTATCCCAACGAAACTAAATTTTTCGTTAGAATTAAATATCTGTGCACAAGGCACCAAATTTTACTTGGTCACTGCCAAGATTTTAAAATATGAAATAATCTCATATTTGAGATTTAATTTCAATAATCCTTTAACCCTTTACGGAAATAAATAAATGCAAGAGAAAAAATTATTATTATTATCTTTATATAATAGAGAATAAATTTTTTTCTTAAGAAATAAAGCTCTTAATTTCTTGAAAATTCGATTGCATCGATCTGTAAGTCGATACAACTCGAGGATGTCTCTGAAAAAAGTCAGAGGCAGTATTATTTTCCCCATTTGTTATGGAACATCGGTTTGAATTATTGCAACAAAAGTGTAGTTTTATGCAAAGGAGATAGACACTAAATTCCCTTATTTAGATTAAACTCGAACGAAAGTGCGTTATTTTGAATAAAGTGAGAATGCGCCGCGCAAGATTTATTGACAAATGCCGCGATATATTCTCGATAAACATGTACATATATGAGTACCCTAGCAAACAGCGCAACATATTTTATTCCTGCATACTTTTCAGAAATATTGCTCTAGACATAAATAAAAAAGTTCAAGAACATGAAAATAAGTGCTATATAAGAAGAAAGCAGAAGAGAGAAAGGAAGGAAGGCAAGCAAATGTTATACTGCCAGCTTTATATATGCATAACCGCTCGACACGTTGATTATAAAACATGCAAAGTTATAGAAAGCATGTAAATAATTTTGAATTTGTTTTTTATAAAATACAAAGAGTCGAGTTGATGGTTGTGAAAATGAAAGTAGTTTTATAAATTTTTAATTTAGTAACTATTTTCATTCATACAGCTTATGATAAATTTAGATTGTCCCCTATGCTTGAAGAAATATTCTACAAAATAAAAACTCTGAGCATGTTTTTTCTCACAAAACATTTTTTATTTATATACATGCGTCTTTTTTTCAGAGCCAAGTGTCTCGAATAACGACTCAATCCATCGCAAAGTTTTGTCATCTCTAAAAAAAAATGCCATCCTTTGATAATGCTCGATCTTTCTTCATTTCGCACAATTGAAAAATTTATCGTAATGTTTTGTCATCTCTGCAAAAAAATGTGCTATCCTTCGGTAACGCTCAATCTATATATCTTCATTTCGCACAATTGATCTCGAATCTCGAATTTCGATAGCGCGGCAATCTACTGTCGCGTTGATTAAGCTTGGCTTGAATAAAAAGTGTTCCTCCGTACGTTTGTTCGTCGCGAAATGTCTATTGATTCCTGGATTAAATGCTGTCCTTGCGAAGGATCTCCCCCGGTGATGAAATGCACATTCTCATTTCGTTTTATCGATCCTTCGCGACCTTGATATTGTATCGAACGGAAGGACAGGAAAATTAGAACGTTTTACCTCAGCTTTCGCGATGTAAATAAAACAATTTTTTTTTTTTTTTAAGACATCGTCATCGACGTTTAAAAATTGTTACGTCTCGTGCTCCTATCTCTGATTAAGTAACTATCACCCCATCAGCGGAGAATGATCGAGAGTCTGAAATTTAATTCGTCTTTTCTAATTCGTCCTCCCTACGACGTGATTGTTATCGCGAACTGCCGTGAGGGAGGCGTATTATCGTTGTCGTTAAGTTTTTTTTTCAATCTAGATAAATAAATGAAAGTTAATTTTTTATCATGGGTTGCGTCTTATTTCAATCTCGTCGCACGTCGAATCCATCTGATAAGCTAATTTCGTCGAGTGTGTTTCTCTAAATCTCCCTTTCCTAAATTATCAATACATAATAAAATATTTCTGATGTTACTAATCAGCAAAAAGCATCGATACTCTTCAAGATTAACTCATCAAATTACTCTGTAATCCTTAATCTACATTATTAGATAATTAACACACAAATATCGAAAGAACAATCTCATAAAAGATATACATCACAAAATATGAAATAATCAAAATAATATATAAAAATATACAAAACATTTTTGAAAACATTAACATCGTCGTACGATGATTTAGCTGTTGATGCATATTGTTACGTTTTAATGAAAAGGATAAGCGGTATCAGGAGAATCAGGATAAGATGCGATGTCACTGTAGCCTAGATATAGTGTTTCGTCACGCGACCGTGACGTTCTTGGTCATACTTACGTCAATATAATATGTTAATCGATATAAACGACGAACATCTGTTCCCCTGAAAAATGCATTTTATTGAAACGCTTTTATTATATTCAATTTTTCACCGTGCCGTCCTTGACGAACACTTACATCACGATCGTAATATCATCGAGTACGTACGAACTTTACAAAAACAGCCGGCTTAACAAAGTAGGTAGGTGCAAATGTGACAAATGTGTCGTTCGAATTTGAACGTAAACGAATATCCGTATATAGATATGTACAGTATACACGATTACATCGTTGATGATCTCGGTGCCATTTTGATAGCGGTTGGTATCTAAATCAATATGTAATAAAAGAGTTAATTGTTAACATTATCTAGTGAACGATAACAATGAAACGAAATATACCGTAACAATCTTAGTATCGCGGAATGACGTGAGAATTGCAGTTGCAGTGATAATTTTGCAATCAGCGTAAAGGAAGTGTTTCCAAATCAAATTTTCAACTCAACTCTGTATCACTGGAATTTGTACCAAATTGACAATTAAAATTATACGTATGTTTCTTTGCAAAAAAAAAAAAAATAAAATTAGACAATGAATTTATTGATATTATTTTACGAAGCAATATAGAAATTAATTAGATGTATAGAGCTTGTCAAATAATCAAAAATACAGCGGATTTTTAAAGAGACGATGATTTTTGTGCATCAAAGAATTAGTGAACATTTTTTTGCTGCGTACAATATTCTTTTTTCATTGTATAACTATAAGTTGTCAATTTGATATCCATTCTTATTCTGACGCAAAATTATCTCTGTCGCAGCAATTTTAACATTCATTTTATTACGATATGTTTGTCGCGATAAGGTATTGGAACGAATGTCAGGTGAAGACCTTTTACAAAAGTCTCAAATTGAAGAGCATATTGCAATACTTAGGGAGTCGCGACTGATCTCGCTGCGATATTCGCCTTATCAAGTAGATCTTAGTTTCTAGTTCAATTTCGCGTCCGTACGACCGTAATTTTTTTTTTTTTTTTTTTACGAAGATCGCGCGGTAATAAATTAAATTTCGACTCGTACGATGCGAACGTACAATCATTCAGGAAAGACTCTGGGCTCAAGTGATGACCTTTAGAGACGATCCTGAACAAATCGCAATTTTGCAATTTAGCACGAGTACATATTTTAACGAGGCCGGCTCTCGAATAGCGTCACATAAATATCTCTGAAAATAAAGGTACGCATAGATTGCATGATAACAATAATTACTATAGATAAAGAAATCATAAGCGATAAAATATAATACTACTCGGGTAGAAAAAAAATAAAGAAAAACAAATGTATGTCCGGATTTTTCACGAGCAATAAACTTTTTTGTCTGCGCAAGTACACATATATAAATTTATATATATATATATATATATATATATATATACATATATATATATATATATATATATTTTTATCTCTCTCTATATATATATAATATATTAAAACAACCACTATAAAATATAAATATATTTATATATTCATAATATATAATATATATCTTTTTTTCTTGCCGTTTCACGGCTAGCTGCCTACACAGGGCTGGACGGATGCGATGCTGTAATGTAATTTTACCTTCTTCTCGCGGCGAGGAAAAAGTAAGAGTATATATGAACTACTAAATAAAGTAATATGAGAGAAAATACAATGCAGAAAGGAGAAGAAAAAAAAAACGTATCACGTATTCTGCGACTTTCACGGCAATCCGTTATTGGCCGAACAGTAATAATCAACGATTAAGTTTCTCTTGAAAAAAATTATGATTTTTAATAATATAAATAATCGATTCCTTTTACATTAAAATTCAATTATTGACATACAACATTAAATTGATTGCAATTAGCATTAATCGATATTGGTGCAAGCGGTTCTTGATTATCGATATAATTTTTTTTTCGGTAAATCGATTTAAATTATGTAACTTAATTTAATTAAGTTGACTTTTTTAAAACGTGTAACAATTTTCTACATAATAAGTGCGTGATATATCACGAATATAACTTTAATAAGAATAAACATTAATAGTAAACGTTATAAAGTACTTGTTTGGACGGAAAATTGTTGATAATACTAATAATAATATGCAATACACAACACTGAGATATATATACATAATAAAAATCGAAAGTTAATTATTAAATTCGGTAACGATTCATTGCCGTGTTTGTATAGAAATCTATACATATTTTAATGCGAATATATATATATACATATATATAGTCGCTCTTGAAATTTTTAAAACATTTTACACAGCTATCACTATATTAACAGTCGAGTTTCGATTAGAATACACAATACATACCTAATTACGATAGAAACGTAGTCGTAACAATTGTATACGTGTATATAACAAATGTAGAGACCGTACATGCTGTGCAATACTTGAACTTTGCAACTTAATTATCGAGCTTAATATATTCAATTAAACTCTGATGTTACGCTTAATTAAATGGTGATAGCAAAGGTTATCTATTGCAGTTCGTGTGAGAATACAGTTACGTAATAAAATATAATAGTTCTCTATAGCAACACGTGCGACTGAGATAATCCTCGTATGTTATATCACAAGCCGGATTATTTCGTACTTACTTGCATTTTCGAGAAAACACGTTGAAAATCTAATTCATAAAATTCTCAATATATGATTAACGAATTTCAAATAAAAAGACGTATAAAATGAAAATCAGATTTGTGTTTTTTTAAATCACATTTATGTATATGAATTTTTAATGAGCTTAGCTCAACTATTTTTTTTGTTCATTATCAGTTTTCTTTTTTTTTACGTGTAAATACGAATGTACTTAAAAATAATGTACTTAATAAGGCAAGACAATAGAATGGAATTGCTATAGAGCCTTGTAAAATAGAATGCACACCACACATATACATATATATTCTTTATTTTATAATTTTAGTCGTAAAAAATCTTATTAAAATAAATAATATCTTTTTCTATTCTTGTTTAATTAAAATTTATATTTTTTTCGTTTTACATTTAAAATTTTTAAAGAAATAATCGACGTTTCATTTACGATTAGTTTAATACAATTTAATAATCGATATATGAAAGTTATATTTTTTATTTCAATACCCTGTAAAATTGTGTGTAATATGTGCAAATTTTATTGCTGACACTTTTTAAGATTTGTGAAAATATGATATTAAATCAGAATTTATTATTTTCTACTTTATACACATTTATATACTGCACATTTAACTTTTTGTTACTATACATTTACATCACGATAACAAGATTTTTATCATATTTATATAATATTAATTTTTATCTCTATTTCCTACAAGATGAATATATTTCTTTATTTTCGTCCATTCTATTTTCTCACCAGTACGCTTTCAGTTCGCTATCCATATTCTATCGAATCGATTTATATCGAATATAGACATCGTGTAAGGATATAGTAGAAAAGTGTAAAGTGACGAGTTGCCGTCAATCTTGCGTTTGATCTGGATTTGCTTAATATTTAATTCAGGTAGCTTCCGAGAGCTTCGGAGGGGAGATTATCGATCGCGTTTATCAGCCTATTTACATTCCGCCGTAATAAAACGATAAATTTCTAGCGAGCGATTCGATTCCCGTCTTCGGAATTGATTTAAAGTCCCATTATACATATCGCGAAATCGTCGGGCGACTACGATGAAGCAGCTACACTAAAAATAAAATTTGCTAACTCGACTAAACCGTTCAATTAAATTACTATTTTGTTAATTGAACATATATTAGTATTTATCAAATATACGTTATTTTGTGTGTGTTAGATTTAATATATTATATTTAATTTAAATATTTTTATATGTTCAATTAATAAAATAATATTTAGTTGATTTAAGTCAAGTTAATTGTTTTCAGTGTAAATGCAAGACCCTCGATTTCGTTCCTTAATTGCGCGCGAAAATCAACCAACAGTAATAAGCGGAGACCACCTACCGTTGATGAAACATACCTCTTGAAACTATTTTAGTAGACGTCTCGTCAGCTGACTTCCTGTCACAGCGTCCTTAAACGATCGACACTTACGAACTCTCTCTCTCTCTCTCACGTGTCAATAATAACACATGATAAGAGAGAAAGACGTCGGGGGAATCTAAACTTCCGTCGAGTGCGTCTGTATACGCACTTTTTTCTGCGAGCCGTTCCTAGACAGGGTCGGGCTTTGCGCCGAGAAGCCGGGATTGTGGATCCCGAGGGGTTTCGGCTTCTTCAGGGAGCTCCTGAGGGGCGAGGCCGTGCTGGCCACGCTCCCGGAAGTCGCCACCGACGCCGTCGATCCGTTTCCGGCTCCTCCGACGTAAGGTTTCCCGCTGGCGTCTGTCATCGAGATCGAACCACCTGTGGAAAAATGAGATGGCAAAATTAATAACGTGCACTGCTGTGCTCGGATGATTTTTGAATTATCTAGATGAAGATGATTTTGTTTATTTCAATGTATCTAAATATAAGATAAAACTATATGACGATTCATCTAGATAACTTCCAGATAATATTATTTTCAAGACAGTTTATGTAAACACGCAGTTTATAAAAAAATGTAAATTATATAAGGGATATTATATTATTTTTATGTGTTATGACTCTAAATCAAATTATCTGAACATTATTACGGGTAACTTAATAAAGATAACACTTTTTTCATTTAAGATGCAGATATAGATAATACATATTTTTATTATCTATATAAAAATAAAATGACGCCAAATTTCATCTAGATGATCATCTATATAATTTTATTTAGATAACAGCAAACACTGATAACGTGATCGTCTCTCCCATACGTCGCCAAAGTTCTTTTTAAATCATATAAGTATACTTTCAAACTAGAAATATTATCTGTCACAGATGTGTCAAAATATCACAGTATAGAAATTAGGGTAGAGCGACCCTTATGTAACGACGTATAATATATATGTCAAATATGTGACCAGGATAGCAGAAAGTTACGCGAAATATGAGAGACATATATTAAATTAGTTTGGCGATTTTTTTTATATAACCTGTACATTTTTATTAAAAATAAGCAAATATTGCGTATAATAATTTTTTTAAATTTAATTTCTGTCTTTCGAAAGATATAATGTATATATATACACTGAGAGAATTTTTTAAAATTTATTTTGAAAATCATATGGAACAATATGGTATTGGAATAATTTTATAAGAATTTTTCTGATTGATATTTTTACAATAAAAAATATTAATATCTACCACAATAAAATATAAAATATGTTCGATTACTTTTATTATGCACATATTGATATTTTTTATTGTGGTAAAAAAAAATCCAAAAAGATCCAAAGTGATTAGTCGATCACTTACTCATTATTAAAAATACTTGAAGTTAGCTGCCTGAATCCACGAAATTTACTCGAATTATTCTCACTACCGACACGATATATCTATCTAAATAAACACAATACAACAATCGCCCGAGATTTTTTCGACACTCCCGATATTACGCAAGATTTATTATTCAGAGATTTATTTATTTGTAATAATTCCAAGTCGTAATTCGCGCGAATGTGATGAATAAATGATTTTCCCAACCCAAATATCTAGTTGCATAATTTCTCAGAATAATTTCGCGAATTAAGTATCGTCGGTCGCTACGTGAATTATTCAAACGTTAATTTCTATCATACATACACGATATTTTAACACACGTGCACATATACCTGCATTGAATATAAACGCGCGAGTGAGAACCGTGAAAATTTGAGACCGATCTCCGCGATAGTCGAGACTATATTATAAGCATGAAACAGAGAAACATGAGATGGGACGCGACTTCGGCCGTTTTGTTTGTACACAAACGGCGATGTGTGAAACGAGATAAGCGTGCGATTCTAACAAAAACGGTGAAAGAAAGAGAGAAAGACGGAGAGACTCGAAAGTGAGCTCAACTGTTGTGTGTATGTGTACTACTTGACGTGTCTTTAAAAATGACATAAATGTGCACGGCGATTTTTTTATGGAAAGATAAGCACGCGCTATAGCTTCGTCCTCCTAAAAAAGGATTGAAACTCATAAAGAAAGAGAAATTAAGCGTTTTAGTCTCGAGTACCAGGGACAATAAAGAGTTTTAAGAAACTTGAAACGCTGAGCACTTTGCTTTTCTCTTTATAATCTTCTATCCTCTTTAGTGTCTGTTATTTTGTTTATCTTGTTTCAATTTTCGCAGAAAATTGTGGTGTTTGATGTGATATTTTGCATCATCGTATTTCTAAATGGATTAACTCACGTTATCGCATATTGTAAACAAAGCGTCCTCGTTTTCCGAGAATTTATTTTTTCCTGCGCACGAATTATTCTCGTACATTTTTATTTAGTTTACTTATTTATTTTTCTCGCTTAATACAATTTCGATATCATCGCTGTAGAATTTTTGAACTTTCGTACTTGTACCATACATACATATATATATATATATATATATATATATATATATATATATACATGCAAACGCGTTATTCAATTTGTAATACTGTCAAGAATAATAAATCAATTACGTAATAAATTCCTGATACGTTCGTTAATAACTAATGAGAAAATTACTTTATCACATCACTCACGCGTTTTATATAATATGTACGCGTTTATATTACGGTTATATATTCGATATACATTTAATGATTAAACGAGCGCGAACAAAACTGCACATTTAAAAACGTCGCGTTTAAAAAGAAACTATATAGCAGGTAAGATTAAGCATGTACTATATATACACATAATAGAAACGTCGCGTTTAAAAAGAAACTAGCGGGTAAAGCATGTACTATGTATACATAATAGAAACGTCGCGTGTAAAAGAACTAGAAACTAGCCATAACGTCACGACAGCCATATTTGACTCGCACAGTATCTCGAATCGCGGAGTCGGATCGAATCTATCGAACTCGAATCGATCCGGAGTAGAGACAATCGGAAGCGGATATTGAGATATTGTGATACGTCCATTTTGTCGTGGGCAGCCGTTTGCGCGGGAGCGCGAGTAAAGCGGTCCGGGTTTTGTGGTGTAAATAATGTATTATCGGCGTCGTGCGTCGCGCATCGCTAGTGTCGAAGAGTCGCTGTGATTAACGCTGTGATTCCAATCGTCATCATAATTATATCGCGGCGCGGCATTACGGTCGCAAGACTCGCTTGTCTCATTACAACTTCTCGGTTATCGTGATAAATATTGTTTGCGAGTGAGTATGTATGAGTGTGTCGGGAGTGCTGAAAAGTGTATTAGGAGTGTCGAAAAACGTCGGGAGATTCTCGTATTACGCGGTTATACTGTTTTTCACACATCGATGGGGCGAGTGTGTGACAGATCCGTCAAGTGAACTCCGCGCGACTGTAACATCAGGTACTGTTAACAAGTAAGTGTTCAGTTGTCGAATGAAATTGAATTATATAAAATAAATATTGTTTGCTAATAAACATGTAGTATTGAAAGGATCATAGTGAACGAATTTGCATTATGCGTAAATATGATATACATGTATCGCGATAATTCTATCAAGTCAACTCCGCGCGACCGTACTTCAAAGCATTATTCAAAAATTAATGATAGATAAATGTTCGATATAAAAATCCTCTCTCCAATTTTTATAAAACTTTTTGTATATTTATTCATTATTTAAAACCATTGATATACTAAATTGGTATATAATTTTATACACATGCAATGTTGTGCAATATCGATGCAGGTAAGATGAACTATAGAACAGCAAAAAGAGACTTTTTTACGATCAAATGTAAAATAAGGTTAAAAATGTAAATTGTTTGTAAAATGCTTGGAAATTACGGATACTAATTAAATTACGGTACTACATATTTATACTATTTTTCACGTTGATAATGCAAATGTGCGATAGATTCGTCAAGTGATCTCCGCGCGACCGTAACATCAGGCACTGTTAACAAGTGTTCAGTGTCGAACGAAATTGAATTATCAAGAATAAATAATTTACTAATAAACATGTAATATCGAAAGAAAAGTATCGAACAATCGTTGCATTATGCGTATAAATATGCGCTATATATCGCAATAGAGCGATAATTCCATCAAGTTAACTCCGCGCGACTGTAGTTCAAAGCATTATTATAGAATTATTGATAGATAAATATAAAGATCCTTTTTCCAATTTTTATAAAACTCTTTGTATATTTATTATACGTCATTTGAGGCCATTGATATACTAAATTGATAAATAATTTTATACACACGCAATGTTGTGCAATATATCGATACGCGTAATACGAGCTGTAGAACAGCGAGAAAAGATTTTTTTTACGATCGAACGTAAAATAAGGTTAGAAATGTAAAATACTTGAAAATTGCGGATGAACTCGGTGTATCGGTGAAGGTCTTATACGCAGCGATGCGTGAAATAAGCCGCGAGCGTACATAGTCGCTACATATATTACGTTGTTCAGCGCATCTCGCTATGCAACGTGGTGAGCAAATATATACTTGCCGAGACGTGCCACACAATCCTGCACATTCTGCATTCGTGTATAATAACACCGCAAGTAAGACGTAAGAGAGAGGGAGAAAGAGAAAGAGAGAGAGAAAGGGTGGTCGCAACCCTCGGTAATCTTTTCAACCCCCTCTATCTGTCTATCTACACACAGCATAATTCTCCGAACTTTATCACCTTCATTCTCCTTGTCAGATGTATTTCTCGTAGTTCGTGAGAGGAATATTGACTTTCTGTCAGTCGGCTATAAATGAACGACTTTCGCGTACGAGTTGGCCAAATTTCGGCAAATACGCGCGATGTATCTAGTTTCGCGGCGAAATGAAGAAACCGGATGTTTCAGAAGTGAAAAAAAATGCGGCGCGTTAATGAAGAAAGATGCATGCCTCATTTGCGACTCGTGTAACCCGGAAAAAGTATATATAGTAGCAAATTGCATTAAACCGAAAATGTTATTTAAGACCTTAACTACTTTATTTGATTTTATTTTTTATATATACGTATCTTCTTAATATACAGGATGCATTTAAATAAGTGCGAAAAATTTTAGGAGATGATTCTTTATTGAAAATTAAGGGGGGGAATATATAAACCTATATTCTTATATCTATACTGTAAACATATATTCCTTTTTTAATATTAATAAATATTTTTTTTATTGGTAGAAAATATTCACCAAGTTTCATTTTTTTAATTTGTCTGAAATTTGAGAAAAAAAATAAAAACTTAATTTTTATAAAAACTCTCCTTAATTTTCGACAAAGAATAATCTAAAATTTTTTGCACTCATTTAGATTCACCCTGTATATTCATGATATATTGAATATTACACCGCGGCTTTATCACGCTTATCGTATTTAATGTTAAACATGGTGATGCGGCAAAGGCGCAATTATGTATACATTTCGTGTTTAAACGGACACGCTTTGAGCCCAGGCGTTGATAGCATTAACGCTATTAATCCCATTAATCGTTTGACGCGTTTCCGCGCCAGACATCAACGTCGGATCTGAACGCTTGTGATAAATCGAGGCAGGATTTTGCGAAATTACACGACTGTCCAGTCCTTACCGTTCGTTGGCTGGTGATATTCCCGATATCCTGGATTATTTATGGTACCTCCACGGGGATCCGTGACGACCCTAATCTTGGTCGGGTCGCCGCCTCTTCGGGCGTAAATACCCTCGTAAATAGCGGACACCAGCACGCCGAAGTTTAGAGCGATGGCAGCCAACTGTAACGATAAATGAAATACGATTTATCGAAAATGTCGCGATCAAAGTTTTACGGTGCAAAATTATGTATAACGTTAGCAGTCGTTTAAACGCTCATATTCAGAATCGACGATCTTGAAATCGATACGTATTTTAAGCTTATGATTTACCTCGAAATTAATTATATATATTTTTTTAACATCTTCTTATCCTTACTTTGTCAATGACATGTTTATGAAATTAAATCGATATATGAGATTATATATAGAAGCGAAAAAACACATATACAATATTTTACGTTTTTTCTTTTAAGATTTAAAATTGGTAAAGTTTCGTATAAAGAATACATCAACAAATCTTTCGTCAGATTTCAAATTTTTAATTCTACTCTGAAAAAAATTGGTGAATTTGACTAAACCTTTCAACTAAATTACTATTTTGTTAATTGAACATATATCAGTATATTGAAATCAAATATATATGTTTTGTTAAATTTAAATGTTATATTTAATTTAACATTTTTTATCGATTCAATTAACAAAATAATATTTAAAAAGTCAAGTCAAAAAGTTAAAAAGTTTAGTCAAGTTAACAATTTTTTTCCAGATATTTTTGTATATAGATATGGATTCTGCTTTTGCGCACACAACACCAAATAAAAGGAGTCTTACTTTCACAGATTCGTATATAATTACACTATAAATTCGGCAATTTAATGACACTTTAAAATCAATTTTTTAAAAAAGACCCATTACTTTTACATTTACACACCTTTCATTCTGGGACGAGGACGCGCGATCAATTCACGTCAAACGAGAAAACGCATCTATCGGGGGATCAAATAAAGCCACGAACGTGCTCGGGATGTGAAACTTCACATATACGGAAATAAGTCCCAACTGTTTCTCCCGAGACTCGCGCATTTATTTCGTTTTTCTCCGCTAATTGGTTCCAATTAGCCGTGCAATCACACCGTCAGCTGTTCTAATTCGCCGACTAATGTCACACGCGCCCGTATTATTTCCATCGGGAAACCTCGCTGTACAGGAACTTGGTCCCTACTCGCGATTCCTATTATCTCGTACAACAAACAGTCATCGAGCGCGAACGAACGTCTCATTCTTCTTCTCTCTCTTTCTCTTTTAAGTGTCTTTTAAGTCTCTTTTCTTACGCGGCGTGCGAGAAACTAGGAGATCCTCGTCGCGTTTAAGTACACTATCGATGCGAGAGGAGAGAAGCATCGTCCGTAGGTGGCGATCGGCTGGACTGACGGATGGATAGTGGAAGGAGCACGCGAGAGGAAGGGAGATACAATTTAATTAGGGCCAACACAAAGAGAGAAGCCGCGCGCGCCATTGTTGTTCCGCCGCTATAATTAATCCGGTGTGTGTGTTTGCATCCTTTCTTTTTGTCCTCCTCGCGGCCAAGCTTCTCTCCCCTATACACATACGTGATAAAAGAGAACGCTCGTCTCGTCTTCTGATCAACCCTCTTCTTGCCTCTTTCGTTTATCAAAGTAGTAAGTTATTTTTCCTGAGGCGCCGGTATATGAAAACATAGTTGAAAAATTTGTGTAATTTAATAGGTATTTTACGTGTACACAGAAATTTTCGTGTTAATTTTATGTAATATGGATATGTTAAATGGAGGCATTGGGTTAATATTTTAACACAAATTAAATATGCAAAACTTCAAGTAATTTAAAATAAATTTTGTGTAAAATTAATATAGTTTTAATGTAGAAGTTAACTAAAAGTATGTTAATTTTAGATTTTATCATCCCCATTTATATTATAACATAAGAATACATATTTATTGTGTAAAATTAAAGATAGATGTAGGTAGGTACGTACATACATCGTGTTACTTTTACATCTTTTTTCAGTTGTTTTATAATTTGACATTTAAGTTCAATTAACACAACAGCAATATGTTAAATATTTAACATAAAAATTTTAACGGGGACGGTTTTTAACAAGAAAACACAAATTTTCCTACTGTGAAGAGATAGACCTTCTAAGGTACCAAGAAAAAGAGAGAAAAAAGAGCCAAGTACACGAAGCGGAAACAGAAATATATTCGGACGAGAGAAGCTATTTGGGCAGAAATTCCACGGTATTTACATGACATTTGCGCGATTTCACGCGTATTTCACGCGTTATTTAGTCTTCGAAACACCCGTTACATGACTAGGATGATTTCATGGCGTCGCGATAAGAGTCTTGCGAAATAAATCGGCTATTTTGTGTGGCACTTGAGTTGGCTCGAGATATTTTTTTTATGGTACTTTGGTGGTAAAACATTATTTAAACGTGGCTCTTGACAGTTTATTTGAAAAAGCTGTTTCGACTAATTATCACTTTACTTCGAGCGTAAATTCTTTAATGTTACAACTCATCTTTTTGTCAGATTACGAATTATCGAGGCAAATATTTAAATATAATGAAAGAATTACTTTTAGTATTTACCGTATTTTGCATTAAAACATTATCACTGATATAACATCGAGATAATGAAAGCAAGAACTTTAAACTAGATTGAACCCTCTCGAGTGACGATATACTACCTTGTGTTGTTTCTGCTTATTCATTCTGTCCAACTCAATCTCGTCCTTGGCCCGTTTCAAGAGACTTCGTTTCCTTTTTTCCATCATCCTATACTTTGGACGATAAAATATCAACATACCACACACACTTTTTTTTTAACGCGCATGACAATCTATCAGAGATGTTCTTCAGCCTTCTTTGAGATTCTTCGATCTTCTTTGAGTCGCGGGCGGCAAAAACTAAGGCGACCAAGAAAAATACACGCGACTAATATCTTCCCAAGTAGCAAAAAAGTGTCACATTTATTGTTCGCGTGCGTTGATGAATAACTGAGAACATGGCTGAGAAACAAATAAAAAGAAAAAAAATTCGCGAGAACCGAAGGCGAGTTCGCTGACGATCGGCACCGAACACTCACTGCGGGTCCGCCAATGTCGGCTCATTGTTTTAAAAGTATCTACGAGTCGTGGCTACTCCGACACATGCTAAGTCGGCTAAAGAAGAGGGGAGAGCTTAAAAGAACACCTGAGTCTCCGGTTCACGATCAGGTGGCTTCTAAAGCGTTTAATTCTCCAGTCAGATATACGTTTTCCGGCTCGTTAACGTCTCGCTGACACGCGAGCGAAAGTATTTTATTATTTATAATCGAAATCATTTCGGATATTTCGTATTTGCTCTTCTCTGTCTTAATTCCTCGACGAATTAAATTCTGCATCGATCGAAGGCAAAAGAGAATAAGTCTTATTGTTCTAGAATAATCCGATCTTAAGTTTACTCGCAATGTTGTAATCTATAATTGAATTCTCACACAACAAAAGGAAATATCTGAGATATCCTGCTGGGAATCATATAATATCCTTGGGAATTTCTCACATGACAGAAGACGAGTGCGACGTCTACAATATTTCTGGAACAATATTTTTAAAATATACCAAATGTAACCACGTTTTCAAGACTTATTTTCAGAATATTACGACAATTTCCAATTCAAATTTTCACATATTTTTTTACTGAAATAATTTTTAAATATTCTCTACGAAAATAACTGGTAATTTATACTCTGCATTATAATATATATTATAGTAATATTTTAAATTTATTGAGTTAAATATTTTGAACATTTTGAATAATTTTAATACATCTCGGAGAGATTTTCATCGTTATAAAAATAAAAAAAAAATAATAAAGAAAAATAAAATAAAATTGTATATAAAGGTAATTGAACCATTTGTATCTCTGACATGTGCAAAATTTAATTTGTAAACGAATATTTATCTCGCGATTTTTATATTCCAAAAATAACATCCGCGACTCTCTCTAATCCTTTTATCCAGAACTTTTAGACTGAAAATTTTTCTGCTAACTCAGCGCGGAATATAATCGATTCTCGAAGAGGCATAATATCGGTATCGAGTATTTCCTCGACGGAATCTGAAGGTATTACTGTATCCTGGTTGTGTAACGACCGCGTGAGTATTTCATCCGCATCGATCGGAGAAACCCGAGCTGCCGTCTCGCGATAAGAGGAAACTCTCAAGGCGCCTAGAACGACGTTATCGTGCCAGTTTCATAAAACGTGACGTTATTTTACATACAAATGTCTTCGTCGTTACCTCACGCGATCGATATATTCAATTTAAATTACTATTCATCCCCAATGAGACGAACGCAATCGAGCTTTTAATTAGCCCGCATATCTGTGTTTAAAATCGGTTTAAGCGTTCAAATTAAGTTTTGCGAATGAAAGCCCGGGAAAAAATTTTTTTATAACAATATAACATTATATATAGAAATATATAAAATTATACATATAATCGCAAAATTATATATGAAATACAAGTATGTCCATACATAATTAGATAAAAGTGCTTTTTATATATAATTATATATATAAATTTATATAATTATGTATAAAAATAGATATATTTCACATATAATTTTTACGATTATATGTATAATTATACAATTATTTATATATAATTAATATAATTATATATAAAAAATTTTTTTTTTGGGAGGACGAAACAAACTCGTTTAATTAAAGAAAGACTTGTCAACTTTACATAAGAATTACTTTCCTTCCTCTTTTTCGTCAGAATAAGAGTTTATATACGTGTGAGAAAAAAATATTTTTTTATCGATATCACAGTCAATATAGCGGCTTATCTTTCCTCATAATATGCGCAGTATCAGCAATATCTTGACGTATTATTCTCCCTATCTTTTCATACGAGAGTTATTCTTTTTAGCGAGGAAGGTTTTATGATAACGCTTTGTATCTTTTCCTGATCTCGTAGCTTCTCCCTTTTCTTCGACTTTTATCAAATATTCTTTTCATGCCTATCCGCGTTCAATATAAGTAAGGGTATCTGCTCCTTGAAATCTTATTGTTAGACAAGGGTTTTATCTCCGTTTAGAACTATGGCATCTGCCCGGAGGCGAATCGCTTCGTCAGGAAATTGTCATATAAATCATTCTCGCCGCTTATCTATTATTAATGCACAACATACGTTTCTATATAAGCTTACAGGATACGACTCACACTTGATATTCATTATGGATTATTTAATGAATCTAAAGCCATTTGTGGCTACATGATATCATTCAAGATACGCGATACCCTCATCTATTCATATATATTTTTGTTACTTAAGAAATCTCAACATATTTAAATAATTAATAATTATTATAAATATAATTAAAATTAAATGTAACAACTCAAAAAACTACAAAAGATTTTATTTATTTTATTGATATTCACTTGAGGAATCTCAAGATATTTTTAATTTGACAATTAAATATATATAATTCAAAGAAAATGCAACAACAGAACGCCAAAAAAATGACAAAAGATGTTATTTGTTTTAAATAAAAATATGAAAAGAAATCAAATAATAAAATATAAATTTTCGTAATGAGAGAAATGTTTCTCCTTTTATTACACAATCTTTGTATGACGTATTAATATTCTACGAGTCGTAGTTTGAATTATATCAGCGTGTCAAACGTAACATATAAACGAGGCAGATATGTGTCAAAGCAGATGCAGAAGGCGATGCAACTGCTTCCGCGTGCAACAGGTTCCGAAAACCAGTGAATGACGTGTTATAACGGTACGTCTATCAAGTGGTAGAAATTAGAAACTTGAGGATGGAAAGGTTGATAAGCGTTGAATGCCTTATCGAAACTTACCTCGCTTGTTAACGACATCGCGTTAATTCGAAGCAACGAGAAAATCAGTTAGAAGGACGTTACATTAGCAGGTGCATGTTGCGTCGACGACATTGGACGAGCAAAATTATCGCGTCATCCGACTTTGAGGTGTGAAATTGCAAATTTAAATAAATTAGCAACGAAATTGGCTTGTTATGCGACGCTAAAATGCAAGGGAGCGCGAAAATAAATAAATAATACGCGGCGCAAAATTATTGTTAATTATACCGAGAGAGCTCGGAATTGCTTATTTTTTCGCTATCGCAAAAATTTTTTAAATGTAAAAATGCCTCGGAAATTCTGCGCTCGCGATGTGTACTTATTTTCGATAATGATACAAGATATCCTCTCAAATTATTATAAAAAGTATTAGTTTATCTGTTTTTTATGTATTTTGCTTTTTCTCTTATATATATATATATTTGCATCTTTTTATTATTAAAAGATTTTCCGATACAGTCGAACAGGATGCAACAAATTGTGAAAAACCGATAATATGCTATTACAACGAATATACTTTACCTGCATATAAAAGGCCTCTCCTCTCGTGATGACGAAGCTATTAGCTCGATCATCCGTTTGCAAAGCGAAGAGACTCGCTGCCACAATCGACAATGCCGCTAAAAAAAAAGAATTATCGAATACACAAACATAATTCAATATATAAAATATACGTGTCTGTTAATTTTATATATCGCTTTAAAAAATTTAAATTATTTGATTCCATAATATTTTTATCGCTGATTTTTCAGTTATAATAAATGAATAAATAATAAATAATGAATTTACTGCTTTATAATAAAAATCTTATGCATTGAGAATTTGTTCGCACATATATTCTGATTCGATCTTTTGTTTAATGTTTTTTTTTCAAAATGTAAGACTATAGAATAATGTTTGCCAACATATTTATACTAAAAAAACTTTAGACCATAAAAATCATATATATATATTCAATTTTATATATTTAAACATAATTATAACTTTATATCACGTGGATATATTTAAAACTGAAAATGAAATTACTCGAATAGAAGTCAAAATTAACGCGATATATATATATTTCCTTCGTTTATATTAAATCAACAAGTTTCTTTAATATTATAAATTACCGTCAAATTTTTTATTCTTAATGCTTTATTTTTAATATGTAATTAACAAACTCTTTCATTTAAATAATAGAGTATCTAATCCTAATTTTTCATAAAATTTAATTAAAATAATTGTTTATAAAATCCCAAAATTTTCATTAATTAATTAATTATATTTCACTATAAATAAAAATTTATAAAAATTTTAAAATTATTAATTTTATCAATTTAATTAACCAAAAATAATTTATTTTTATTATCTGCAGTTTAACCGCAATTGCTGGCACCATTAATAATTCACTTATATAATTATCTATATTATAATTTTCATTAAAATAATTATTCATTAACGTCGACTGCGCGATATGCTTTGTCGTGACACTAGATCACTCGTGGTATTATATCGTTTTACTGCAATACGATCTCTCGTAGATATTCGATATCTTTCGTATAAGAGCTTGTAAGTAGGGCAGTATAAGTAGACGAACGAACAAGTAAGCGGTATTCTACTACGTATGTCCAGTATTACAAAATTGCAAACACGATGAAAAGGATTTCTGTGTGTTGAACGTGATTCGGACTTTCGTGTGTCAAGGCCTTGGTCCGCAATACTACGTAATGCGTAGTGCGTAAGAACTGATGACGTAATGTGTAGTATGTAATAATGAGGGGGAAAGAAGTACGTAGATGAATCTCAGATGTTGTACCTTGATAATAATTATAGTCTTAAAAATAAGAAGACATTTAATGGAGATCAAAATAATGTATATAAAATTGTTAAAATAATAATATAGACCAATCATTAATTGATGATGTGTTGAATTTTAAATTTTATATAAATTAAATTATTGTTAAATCTAATTTTTAATTTTTATCGTAATTCATGCAATTATTTGAATTAAAAATAATATATTTAACTTGTCATGTATAAATAATGTATTGGATATTTTTCTCGAAACGCAATACTTTAATATTGAGATATAGGTAATGATAAAATAAGTTTAACCTTTAAAAGCACACAAAGTTGCGTCTTCCTTTTACACAATTTACTTATAAATGAACTATTTTCCTTTTAACCTGAAACTTCCATTTCTTCGACAAATTAATTTCATCTTCGACGTAACTATTTTACCAACTATTTTAATGTTTCACCTTTATTGCATTTGCATAATTTTAATTTATTACAAAAAATAAATGCTTCTTATTTCTTTCATTTAATGTTGTCTAATAAATTGAGTAAAAGAAAATTTTTAAATACACAATTTCTTTTCAATTACACATTATATATTATATAAAGTAGAGTTAAAAAACCTTTTATATGCGAATATTATTATTATATTATAATATATATTATAACTATTATCAAATTGAATACTTAAAACGTCGCTAGTGGTATTTAAAATAGGAACGATATATTTAATTCGACCCAAACTAGCCAAGAAATTTTTATTTTATTTCCACAATGTTTCGACCATCTGTTTTTGATCCTTTTCAAGTGAAAAACTAGAATGGTACAATTAATTAAAATTAATAAACATTTTTGATGTTAAACGCAAGAATTAAAAAAATGTTTTACATACTTCCTTGATAAAAGCGCAGTTAATTGACACTGTTGTCATGATTATTAAACAATATAATTATTAATTTGTTGAAAATGTTTATTAATTTTAATTAATTGTACCATTCTAGTTTTTCACTTGAAAAGGACCAAAAACAGATGGTCGAAACGTTGTGGAAATAAAATAAAAATTTCTTGGCTAGTTTGGGTCGAATTAAATATATCGTTCCTATTATAATTATTAATTAATAAATATCGTTATTTTCTCATAAGTGACAACGAGCATGCATTTTATTTTGCTGCATATGGATTCTATTTCGTTCGAATTTTGTTGATATATTGAAACACTAACTCTGAAGAAAAGAGAAAAAATTCGTACTCACTTGCCAATGTAGCGAGAGCGACTTTGCCTATTAGGGCAGTACTATACGAAATTACGACCCGTTTTGCGGAAGAGGCCATGGCTAATTGCAGCACAGCCAGAGCGACTACAATCGCCAAAAGGGCGGAAGCGCCGGCGGCGGCTAATCCCGCAATCCACACAGCCACTGAAAATAAAAGGAGAAAATTTCCGTCGTAATTCTATTGCGTTCCATTGTAATCCCGCGTTCGTGCTGAGATTTTTGCCGCGATCATTTTTAAATAACGTTATCAAAGTGTACAATCCCCATAAATAATTCTATCTTTTTCGCTTACATTTTTCAGTAACGTAATGAGCAAATGATACAAGAATAGGAATGGGAAAATAATTAATCGCAGGATTTGCATTAATGTTAAACGAGATATCAATTTTAAATAGCATTTACCAAATATGTGTTTAATAACAGTGACAAATATTGATTTAATCTTAATGGTGATAAAATTTAGGCGAAATTGAATTTTTATTTGTAAACACTATTTGACTTTTAATTTCGAAAGAACTCTGCAATTATTTAAATTTTCAGAAAATCCATAAAAAGTAGATCGGTTTATTTATTGAATTACTATAAACATTTTGTAGCAAAATCATTTCTGTTAAATATTGCCGCGAAGTATTTTGTAATCGTAATGTTCTGAGAATTTCGTAATAAACATCTCGCAAATTGTCATTTTTTGTTCATCAGAATGAAGCGATAAGATGAGAAAAGACATCTTTAAGGCACAAGCGGATATTAAAGTATTTTTTTACAATATCACATATATAAAATGAAACTCACACACTGGTTGAAATCTGGAGGCATTATTTTGGCCGCACCATTCTCGCCCGTAAAGCAGAAGCTTGCATTGTCTCCATGGTCCAAAGTAACCTTTTCCGCGGCAGTGCCAGCTGTAACAACACAAAGGAAAAAATTGAATGACAAAAAATTTACTTTCAACCCCTTCACCGCCCTTAAGTGGCAAGTGTACGACAAAAAAAATACGCGATTCCATATTCGAGCGACATTTTAGTCTAAGAATCTAATAATTAATAAAACAGTAAACGACGCTTCTCTATCACACTTAATTTTAGAATGCATAATTTAGTATGTCAATTTGACTCGACTGTTATTTGAATTGTAAATTTCAGGGAGGATCTTGAATTAGCATATAAACGTAGTACGCGAAAAAAAAAGAGAAAAACAAATAAAAATACACAAAATAATACCGATATAAAAAATAATATTTACTCTCGAGTCGATTACAGTTCCAATATTACATATAATAATATTGTGGGTTTCAATTTTCAAACGTATCAATTATTTCTTTTTTTATTTCATCTTTTAATGATAGAAAAATATCACGAGAGAAAACAATTTTATAAATTATTAAAATTTTATATATAATATATAATATTTTATATACAATATTTTATATGTATATTTATAAATATATATAATTATATATTATAATTATATATATATATATATATATATATATATATATATATATATATATATACATAAAATATGTATTAATAAAATCTTTTTAATTTATATAAATTTAATGCAATATAAAATTCTCTCTGTTTGACACTCTCAATTTATATTTATATTTATATTACAGAGCCTTGTTAAATTCTTAATAAATTCTCTTCTCTCACACCATACAAATATAGCAAATACGTTAGTAGAATCATAAGATTGGACGTATATTTGAAGAGATTAACGCAAACAGATGTGTGTGTGATACGTTCATTCCACAATATATCATTAGATACTTATTTCTCGCGCGAGTGTAAAGCGAACATTCCATATTGATTCTGAGACTTATATACACAAAACCAAGTATACGTTAATACGGTACACAGCATCTCTCCTCCTACTATCTACCGCATACCAGTGCGCGTCAAAACATTGTAGTAGGAAGATACGGGATCTCTCCCTACCACATTCCCGCATACCATGACACCTGAAAATATGGTAGGCAAAAGGCAAACGAGTGTTGTCTTTGTCGGGCTGTCGAGGCGGAAAGATCTCTCGATCGATCTCTTTGACTCGCGCAAAAATAGACTAACACGTCATAAGCTAATATGACGCCCGATGTATTTAATTATCGCATAGAATTGCGTGTATGTTGCATAAAAAGAACTGAGCGCCCGACTCGATAATCCCACGTAAATACATACGTCAATCTTGCCGTGTTACATCATTTATTTCGATGGAATGTTGCCATTTAATCCGGATGTAGAACTGGAAAACGAGAAAGACTCAAGCGAGCAAAAGCTCTGCGACTTTCTCCTTGTCATTGCTTTAAGAAGACAATCGCGAGAATAATGCACGGACAAGTGGAAACTGCAATTTTGCGGAGCTCGTTTCCTGGTTGAAACGACCCGTAAACTTGCCTTGTGCGATCATTATTAATCTCTTCTTTTCTCTATTTTATTTCAGTCGATCTTCCGACAAAGAGGAAAAATGCACGGGACGAATTTTTATTATGCGACCGGAAATCAAGGCGGAAAATCAATACAATACACGATTATCGACATATCTATACACTTGAATAAATAAATTCACAAACAATAAAACACGTGGAGCAGAAAAATTCAATTTTTTTCGGTGTATCATGCTTTATCGAGCGATTCGATAAACTCGGGGAATGATTTCAATGTTAACGGTCGGCTAAATGTTAACGATCGGATATCGTAAACGCACAATTGCAAATTTAATTATACTTATTTCACAAATAGCACATAAAAATAATTAATACCAATATTTATACCGAAATTATTCTCTTTTTATTTTTTACAACACATTAATAATCGATTATTCAGTTCAGCGAATAATCAATACAGTAAGATAATTAATTTTTCGAATATAATACGAATAACTCTCTTTAATATTAATTCGCGTATTTATTCAAATTTTTATTACGAGATAATAATTATTTTAAAACGGGAGTGTATATTATTTATTAAAAATACGAAAAGAGAACAAAAGTACAGTCAAGACAGCAATAAAGCAGTTACGTCACGTGGTCGAATAAAATATCAAATTGATCGCGCGATTATCGAACGATCGTTCGAGATTTGTTCGTCGCAGATATCGAATGTCGTTTCTCGCGATCGTGCTCCTCTTTTTCGACGCTACGTAATAAAAAAGTGCGCGTCGCGTACGAAAATAAAGTCGGAAGTGCCGTATAAATGCAGTGATCACGCTCTCCCGAGTGAGTGCTACGAGTGCTACGAGAAATCCGCCGCAATCGAGGAATTCGAGAGAAGGAGGCCAAAGTGGCATCAGGCAACAGCGGAGCAATCCATGGGTAACGTGTTATTCATTACATGTTTGCAAGATTTACCTTCGCATAAATACTCTATGACTCTCATTTTCCATCTATAATAAATGATGAATATATAATTTTTATTGATAATTATTTAATTTCCTTTAATTATTAAATAATTTTATTTATCTCTTAAATGGATACTTTTAGTAAAATAATTATGTAATTTCTTTAAAAAATCAGATTCTATTAAATTCTTATATATAAATTATCCTATATTATATTTTATATAATAATCTTATCTAAAAATATATTAAATATATAATTGTATATTTTAAATATATTAAAAATATTTTATTTTTAAGAATCATAGACTTTTATGTAATCTCAAAATTTGTAAATTCTGTATAAACTTCAAATTTGTTTTTAAAAATATATCTCTCTATCTGGAATAAATAAATTAAAAATTTAAATTATTATTTAAACGATAATAAATTTTTATGAAAATATTGTTATTTTGAACAATTGTTATAATTTGAAAATATTTGTGTTTTACAGATTAACATCTTAAACTCCGCTGCTGCGTATAATAGCTGCATCGGTGAGTCCAAAGAATAAGCTCTTTCATTTTAATTTGAAATTTTTGCTGCTTCATTCGCAGCCTAGGATATGTTTTTGAGAATATGCCTCGCTATTATGTTTCATCTCGACAATCGTGTTTTCGATGGCAATTTTCTGGTAGCTAAAACGGTTAGAGCATGGCGTGGAGATGTTTGCGGAAGCGATGGTCTATGTAATTACTTAGCGGTACATCCCAGAAATGCATTCAAAGGGATGCAATCGGGTCGCCTAATGTACTTCGAAGGGTTCGACGCACATTTTCGAGTGAAAAGAATATTAATGCAAATCAGCAGCGCGGTACATAAATTCCAGCATTTTTGATCATTTTAAGAAATACACAGAGAAACTTGGATAATTTTGTGTCGTTCTTTTAAGCTTTTTATGTGTGTACAGATTTTTTTCTCATACATTAGTCGCGGTCAAAATTTTTTATTCACTCTAACTCTTTATTGATAAAATAATAATAATTATTAATTAAAATTAATTTTATTTTATTAATAAAATTAATTAATTAATTAATTTATTAATATAATAAATAATAAAATAAATAAATAAACTTTGCATTTTACCTAATATTTTGATTTAATCACGATTATATTCTCGGCAGAGGGTGTATCTCTATATAAATAGAAATGGTCCGAGTTCGCGCTTGCAATTTCCCGTTGGCCGTTCTATTCGTTTCACGTTAGAACAGTAGGTACAATTTATACACACGCCTGTGTAAACTCGCGCTGCGCAGCAGGTGCAACAACACTAGCTCTCGCAATTGTATTTCACGTAAAAAAAAAAAAAAAAATCAGCGAGTACATTTCGTTTCATTAGCCTTGCGAGGGAAAATGCGTCGTGCCTGTCACGTGAATATTACAACGAGTAAGTTGTCATTAAGTATAATCTGCTAGTTTACATCAATCTGTACCTTGCCCCATCACGTCTTATTTCAATAACGATTACGTATGCCTCAGGAAGAGCTAAACATAGTACATAATCTGCATGCCTGCATCGAAAGATAGAGAAGAAGTATCCAATAAAACTCACTTGTCGCGCGAATTTCTCCGATCGACGAGAAAATATATCGCCTTTAATGTTCACACATTAATGCGGCGCTATATAGGAAGTTAACGACCCGCGAAGGGGATCTTGAAATTCCTATGAAATAGCTCGGAGAGTTGAGAAAAAATATATCTTCGTGGGGATTAACGCGACGATTTTTAAACTCGATGATGGTTTCTTACCTCGCGGCGTTATATTATAATAGGATCGGAAATGCACCATCAACGTGCATTCGTATCGGTATGTTTACGTTATATTCCACGCTCTGCAGTTTCTCGTGCGCGCAAAACCACACACGTCATTCGTTCGCATTCGCCACGGATTAAGTCGCGTTTCTTCCTTCTACGTTTCCTGCAACTTAAGTTGGCGCGTTTTTCAGGAAGAGCACCACACGCAACACGCTCTTTCGGAAGATATATCTCGGCGTATATATTATACAATTAGTTACAAAATTACCAGTATACAGGGTGTATCTAAATAAGTGCGAAACAAATTTAGGAAATCATTCTTGGTCGAAAATTAAGAGGTTTTTTTATATAAATATATACTCTAAAAATAAAAAAAAAACATTAAATAGGGATTGTTAGTTTCATCCCCTTATAACGATACAGAAAGATAAAAATATTAATAAATATGCTTTTTATTAGTGGAAAATATCCACCAAGTTTCAGATTTTACATTTGTGTGAAATTAAATTTTAGAAAAAAATAAAATCTTAATTTTTACCTTCCTCTTTAGAAAAGCGTAACTCTTCAGGGAGGGATATAGATTATATGTTTATATAAGAAACCCCTCTTAATTTTCGACAAAAAACCATCTAACATTTGTCGCACTTATTTAGATATACCTTGTATACTATATTTAGAGTTATATTATTGGATACGATAAATTGTAAACATGCCAATTACAAATGCAATTTTGTGCAATCGTATGCTCGGTAAGACAAATAATTCGCGTCGTTTGTTTCACATTATGTTACGATAATTGCGATGATTCAAGTAATACATGAGCCGTGTGATTAGAAGCGTAAATACAAAATATCGCTTTTTTTGTCCGCACTCATGTATAATATATCGACCAT